AACGATGCTTTCCGGCCGATGCTTATTATCGGGGCTCGTAAGAAATCCTTAACAAGGCAATACCTAGGAGCAAGTTAGAGGGCGGGATTCTTTTAAATAAACGCACAATGCCGAACCGTGGAGGCCTCTCCTCCGGAATTCAAAAGAAGAAACGCCTAACGCTCGCCGAGATATTTATATAAGTTCTTCGAAAGCTATTCGAAAGTTTTAACGACGGAAGGCGCTAATAGGCCGGGAAAGTTTTCCGCGTTTCCGCGTCCAGAACGGATGCGATATCCGCAGTTAGCATCGTCCCATTGCCAGGCGGCCCGTATTCCATTGTAATCGAGGGATTCGTTAATTCTTTGACCGGCTGCCGGCTCTTTCTCAGTTTCGTGGATCATCGATAATCGTCGGCCGCGAGGAATCGAGCGGGAATATATCTGGTGGACGAAACGATCGCGTTTATTTTTCCCTGTGTACACGGCGCTTAGACACTGGCACCCGCTGCTTTGCAATCCGAAACGATTCATCAAGCCGAACAAGGCGGCGGCTAGACGGCAAATAAATCGCCTCTCGACCAGACGCGAGAAATCCGCCGCGAATCGGCCGCGATGATCGATCGTGATCGCGAAAACGGACGCGTCTATAGACGTCCCGAACGCCTCGATCCCCGCGATAAATAGCATGAAAGCTTATTACATAGCTGATCAATGAACGGTCGTCGCGATTCTCTTCGTCCCTTTAATCGGGCCGTCTATCGTGATTTTGCAGGTAGAAAAATGTCCCAGCCGCAATTAACCACCGACCTGGACGTTCCGGAAAGTCCGCAACACTCTTGCCAATGCTCCGCGATGAGCAGCATGGATTCCATGAGAGCGCAGAGAGACAGGGCGGAGAGGAGCGTGGGAAGTACAAGAATTTCCAACAGCCAAGAACTCCCTAGGGGTCTGGAAGCTCTTCAGAGCGCTTTCGAGCCAATAAGAAGACTCGAAAGTCCGCTATCCCATCAAGAAAGCCAACAGATCAATTTGGAGAATACTAGGAATGTCGATATCATGGAGCATCAGCCGGGTCTATCATCGAATCCGAGGTCGATCGAAAGTCAAGGGGCGATTTTGTCGAGGCACGGCCAGCACAATCTTTCGTGCAGCCCGAGAAACTTGGATCTCTCTCGAAACTTGGCGTTCGAGGCCGCGAGAAGAGTTCAGGAATCCGGCAGCAGCCTGCAGGATAACCAACACAGCCTAACTTCCAGCCCTAGTCCTTTGTTGGAGCCTAGCACGGGCTTGCTCGAAACATCCGCGAAAGATCTGGACAAGCAGTTGGAGGATCACGCCGCCGGGTTATCGCCAAAGCAAGCCGCTTCCAGCAAAGATAAACTGAAGAATATTCAGCAAGTCTTGAATCCTTATCAGCATCATCACGAGCCGACGTCGCCGGAACGCAACGTCCACGGGCATTTCCACGGCGATACTCATGCCCACGTTCACAAACACGCGGACAACTTCCGAAGCGGCACGAATTTGGACGCGGGCGACGGCCTGATGGGATTCCAGCAGCATCAGCGGCAGCACACTCATCATCATCACGGGAACGGGAAGACCACGAACGTGACCCATCACCACGGCCCAGCCACCGTGCATCATCCGCACGGGCCGCAAGGTGTGTCGGCTCATCATCACGGGAACCTGGCGCCCAGCCTAACCAGCCACGTTCATGGAAACTCCGGCCCGTTGAGTAGCTCCAGTGGCACTTCGATGAGCCAAGCCGCTGTTGGCAGCGCTAGCTCCCATCACCATCCTAACCCGATTTCCGCCTCCTCGACCATGGCTCATAGGGCATCGCCGACGAGTCATCATCGTCTCGCCAGCGCTGCCGCGTTGAGTAGTCATTACCCTCCAAACTCGGGCTTCTCCAGCGATCACCACGGGACGTCTAGCGCTATGAGTGGCGCGTCATCGAATTCGAGCATGTTGAATCACGGCGGTTCGCCGGCGGTTCACCGGCACGCGGTCAACGCCAATAGCAGTCTTTCGACCACGCCGTTGACCGGCCATCACCACGGAAGCTCGTCGGGAAGCTTGACCGGACACTCAAGCGTGAACCATCATCATGTCAGCTCCGGAATATCCTGCGAATCTTCCTCGTCGAACGCGAATACAAGGACGCACAGTCGGTTGGACCACGTTCACGATCACCATCATCACCTACAGCAAGTACACTCGCTGCACGCGAGTCATCCGGATTCCAGGCAAAGAGACCGGGCTCCATCGAGTCTGGAGCACCACGGTCACCACCACGGACACATTCATAGTCACGGGCATCAGCATTCGCAGAACAACGATACCAAAAACTCGTCTCTGATCGGGGTAGACTCGATTCAGGTAATTGAGAATTTTAATTCGAGCTCGCCGGGAACGCCTACGCCCTACTGTGCATAAAAGTGTTGTTCATTCAGGTGTCGGCTCCTTCCAAGAGCAAATGTCAATGCCACGTGATGCAGACCGCAGGGAATAAGAGAGGGCAAGAGGGAGAAAGTGACGGCAGCGTTGAGGTAGCGTCGAGAACGCATCAGCCCCCTGCGTTACCGCCTCGGCCACCCCCTCGGCCAACCAGGAGATACGAAACAACGTCTGCTAATCAATGTAAGTATCGCAATATATACCTGTACACCATAAGACAATGCGACACGCATATTTGATCGCGGCAAGATTTCTTAGAGGGGACGTAGAGAAACATCCCCTCTGGTTCCTCAGTCTCTTCTCGGAACTTGGTTGAAATATTCATTTCCCGTTCTCTGTCAAAGCATCTGTCGTATCCTTTAACACTCCTGAAACTTTCCCTCAAAATTAGTCTTGAGGGTAGACCTCAGCTCCACCCTTAGTGATTTTGCTCGAGGAAGATCGTCGAGCGCCTGTGGTATCGTCTGCTCGGCAGCCAAGATCCGGTTAGCCGCGTTATCAGTGGCGGACAAGCCTTATCGACCAGGAAAAAGCGCTGCTGACCGATTCCACTTGCTTCGAAGAACAACCCTCGTGGAATTTCAAGCCTCGACCGCGTAGGGTCGCTGGAATCGTCACGGTATATCGACCAGTCGGTGCTCACGGCAACCGAGAGAGCAGGAGCATCGTGTCGAAGAATACTACGAATCGAACAACAGGCTGCAATACGTTTACGCTCGGTGGAATCGATTCGAGCTCGTCACTGAATAGACGTGGGAGGAATGCCGGCTCGGTGGTCTTTTCAAAGAAATTTCTAAGCTCCGTCTTCGCTCCGAGAATCACCACCACCACTACCACCTGTGGGACACCCCAGCGTGCGGGTCAACACGGATCTCGTGTAGCAGCCCCTAGAGTTGTTGTGCCGAAGCATTCGTCTTCAGTGGATCTAAGGAACGCACAGGAGGAACCGTAGCACGACGAAGAAGCCACAGTGACTCGTGTTGATGGGACACCGGTGTGACATCGTTCGCGAAGATCGTCGACTTCCGCGACAGCGTATCGACCGCGTATAAATTGAGTTTGATCGGGAATCGATCGATGGGACAGTGCATTCGAAAGAGTTGACCTTGGAAAGTGATCCCCAGCGACGACACGCGGTGCGCAAACGTAGACCGTAAAGCGTCGAAGACGTCGATGCGTGTCCGCGTTGTCATCGTCGATTTATCCCTCCGCCGTTCGACACGGGACACCCTCATTTTCGACCGGAATTTCGAAATTTAACACGCGACGCGGAAAGCACGAAGTCGGCAGCCGTTCGGCGAGGATAAACACCGGCCATGGGCGCCACGTGTTAGTTGACAAAGACAATCGAGTGACTAGGGTGAATCGACGTTTCCTCCGTGCGGACACCTCGAAGCAAAGAAGATGGACGGTTATCCAGTGCTCCAGATAGTGCGATGTCGGCTCGGAACGGAAATGGAGATGGATAACCAGGGTTATCCGTTCACAATGGCGGCACACTCTCATTCCCACTTGCCGCATCCGGCAAATCACGCGCACTTCCCGAGATCGCACTACCCTCACCCCTGCGGTATGCCGATTAACCCTTCTTGTTAATTTATCAATCGGTCCCCTAACCCCATTCTGTCTCTACCGCTGAGCCCGCGTACCCGTATAATCCGCTATTAGCTAGATCGGAGGCGACTTAATGGAATGGCTCAGCTATCCGTGGTAATTAATTGTCGGAGATACATACGCGAGCTCGGTATGTTCGTACAGAAAATGGGAAACATCGCGTGACACGGCAGCATCTATTGCATTTTAATCGATAGGCAAAAGAGTAGAACCGTTATTTCCAATCGTAAACATCATTCGTTTAAATGAAATCGTACAAACAGATTGATGGCTCGTTTCAGCTATTATGGATCTCGTAAATTTTTACACAAGCGATAGTACGGCGACCGTTGAATTCGAAAAGGAGCTCCGTCGTATTAGAATTGTGGTTTACCGCGTCGTTAAGACGTTCTTCCCTAAGATGTTGCATCAAGCGTAACCATAAAAACCGCCGTTTAACGCGACCAAAGTATTCTCTAGCAACCGCGTTCTATTTTCGCCCGTAAAAAAAAATATGTTGCAGCGTCGTAGAAGGTCACGTGGATGAGGAAAGGTTGCCGTAAAAATAGGTATCGACGAGTTCCTTAATAAACGTGGTTACTCTATACCCTATCCAATGGTGGTCGGATAAAATCTTGAGGATTCTGCCCAGATGCAGGGGGAATCGTGTGATTTTCGAGCTATAAGTAACAAGGTCAGGGGATTCGAACGAGACGAGGAAATTGCGCGGATCGAGCAGGATAGCAGTCGCTCTTTATCCATGGGATCTACGACTGCTGCCTCGGGTTTCCTCTTTCATTTGAAATTGAGCAAATCCATGGTTGCCCTTTTACTTTGATATACACGTAGCGAACGAGCTCGAATGTAAATGACGGTTCAGTCTCACTCGGTTCCGGTTTCCCCGAAACCGAAATTGCGCCAGTTCAGCTAGTACAGTTCCACGGTTCTATCTTAAATTTTCCCAAGCTGCATTCACGAGAGGCAGCGGCAGGTAGCCCACGATTTTCGGTGAAACAGTTTTCCTCGTCGATTTCAATGAAGACCGCGATAAACCGTCTCAAAGCGGGATCGCCTATATCGGGCTTAAAGGAAAAAAAGGTTCTCTATCCGTTGAAAAGGTAATCCCGGTCCTTCTGGACAAAGTAACGGAGTTTTCCTTCGAGGAACGGTCTTTCGAGTTGTCCTTTGCGCAAGGTTCTATTCGGCGATGCCCGACAATAGCGCGAAGACTGTCAAGAAGTTAGAACAGGTTGAGTCACGTCGACCGATCCATTGTCCAGGAATTTTCATTCAGAATCGTCGACATAAATTGAACAAGATCGTGGGAGCGATAATCCTTGAGCATATTCTCGTTTCCACAGAGAGTATTTCATATTTCAATTCACCTACATAACGTTCGCAGATTTCTCCGTGCGACGGAAAAATAATTAGATTTTTAATTACCGAAGGTGATCCTTCCGCTTGTTCCCTGGCCGCTATAGAAAAGCTTAGTACCCTCCTTTATTAACGGGAAACCTGATTAAAAAGTTGAGCTCTCTCTCGAGTGTCTCTCCCGCTCGAGGGGAAACGGTAGAGCGAAAGAGAAGGAGAGAACGAATCTGCCATTGTCTTTGAGGCAACGTAGCGCCGACGCTTCTATCGTTCAACATTCATTGGAGGAATTTCCAATACAGCATGGTCGGCTGAATCGCGAACTTTGACAACAAAAGTCGAGTCTGGCCGACGATAGAATGGAGCGTCCCTCTGTTACCAGCCACAAAAAAATCGCCACTTCTCCTATGCTTACCGGTAGAAACGGCAATTCCGTGCGCCGACGTGATTTAACGTTGAAATCTTTCGTTCCACCGGTGAAATTATCATCGGGCGGGCAGAACGCGACGCGACATGCGATCCTCCTCGCGATGGGATAACAAATTATTTAATTATCCGCAATTTTCTTTGCAGCGGTCCGGGGATCTACTTAAGAGACGGAAAGGAGAATCGAATCGATCCGCGGGGTAATCAGCGGAGTTCGAAGAATTCGCGTCGTGGCACGTTTCTCACTGTGGTCAGATCGGGGCTCTCGTTGTTGGGTTCTCACGCGAGGACAATCATTATCCCCCGAACGCAACGGCGGAGAGCGGGCGCGACGGGAATAAGTCGTGCGGGACCATTTCTGAAAAGGGTCGATAGTAGTACAAAGGATTCCGTTTTCGGCCACCGAGAAACAACCTCCGAGCTATTTCGTGTTTCACCGTGATCCTTTGAAGCGATAGCCGCGGAAGATTCGACGCGAGATTGCACCGGGATCCGTACGAACGCTACCCGTCTTTCGGTCGACGAGAATATTCCTCGTTGAAGATCCTCGGAGCGTGATGGCGAACGCGTGCTCTCCCCCGTTTTCAATCCCTGGCGGTCGTATCCGTTGGTCCGTTATCAGTGACCGATTTTAATTTTACAGGCCACACCGGGGAAGGCGGTTGCTGCAAGAAGTACGTTGTCCTTTGTTGCCTGTGCGGTGGGTTGAGCGCTGCGGTCGGCAGTCTCTTTTTGGCGGTGCACGCGGTCCTTTCAGCCCACACGGCCAGCCTAGCACTCTTTGAGACTGTACCGTCTTACATTCCTGGCATAATGGTGAGAGGCGAAGATCGGAATAGATTAACGGGTCTTCCCTGGACGCTGGCCCCCGTCGTCGGGTCGCGTCCGATATCATTTTAACGTGCCCCTGAACTATGTTGCAAATAATCATTTACATTGAATGCGCGTGGTTGTTGCAGTTAATTTTAATGGGCCTGTTCACGATGCTGCTCGCGAGGCGGAAGCACAGATACGGGCTTCTGGTGGGTATAATACCGTTGCAGCATCCCGAAAGATATCGTCTCGGCCTTCTCTTTAAACTAACGTCCGCTTATTTTTCTTCTAGATGAAGGTCTGCGGTTCCGTCGGCGTGGTCTGCGCGTTGGTATGCGTGCTGGTTACTGTCACGACCACAGTGATTCACATGTCTCGGCTGCAAGGTCTTCGGAAATGCGTTTACACGGCAAAAGCGAGGTAAGCGTGGCGGTCAGCAAAGCGGCTGCACATTCAGCTCGGCTATAAAAGGAAGTCGATAAGACGTGTTAACGATCGATGATCGCTACCCTACAGGTCGTGCACGTGTTACGGAGCACCGGAAGGAGACCCAGGGGTGCTGTTCGAAGGCACACCTCACTGCGACGCGGTCCACGGCGCCCTGCACGCTTGCTTGCGAGCCTTGTTCGGCGTCTCGGTCGCAGGAATCTTGGCCTGCATATTCTCGTGCATGCTGGTGTACCAGTTGTTGAGTCACGAGAAGAAGAAGATGTACTGGGAGCAGCTGGAGCTCAGATGCAGATCTCTCTACGGCCAGGGAGGCACCGTGGGACCACCGACTGGTTCCTGCGGATGCTGCAACGACTGCGGCGGTGCTAGCCCGTGGTGGGCGCAAACTCCTGGCAACCTCTACACGCCGAACCCCGACCTGGCGCCCTCCAGGTACGACGTCTTAACCTTCGTAGGTTTCGTTCAGCTGGAATCCCGTTAAACGGTCAAATCGGGCGACGATCGTTACAATCGCAGGGACTGCAGGACAGACGATAACGTTCTCCCTGGAAAATTTCTCGAAACCGATTGCGCAATAGCGACGAGAATGGTTAAGCTGTTACGGCGCCTGCATCGGAGCAATTTGAACGCGGGAACGCGAGCCGCGGTGTGCTTCATTCAGCGATTATTGATGCAATTCAGATGTTCACGTGCGCGCTCGTTCCTGAGCGATACATATTCAATAGGTTTCATTCACGATTGTCACGATTGTCGGTCGGCAGGGGTACAGCAAACTCGTAAACAAGCTACAGATCTAGCAGCTCCCGGCTCGCATTGTATTCCGGTAATCCGCTAATGTATGGCATCAATTAAGCCGACATTCCATTGCGCCGCCGACTTCTGCGGGAAAGATCTCTTCGCCTCGGGAATGGATGATGATGAACGAGCGACGGTATCCGCGGTTTCATCCAGATCGACGATAAAAACCCCGATCCCGTCACGTGATTCGCGTCCGTTCACGGAGTGATACGATCTCCGCGAGGTCACGGGGAATTTTTGCGTGGCGAACATTCTCCCTCGCCGTGAAAAACGTTCCCGGCCGAGGAACCCGTCCGCCGCGTATTAAATTCAACCGAAACGAACGTTTTTACGTGTAAAAATGCAGCTCAGGTCTCCTTCTAATCTTCGCAGGAGATGGAGGCTGCCCTGGTCGAGATCCAGAGGACCAGCGCCGAGTCCCGACTCGAATTACGGCTTCCACACGCAAGCCAGACAGACGGAGGCGAACGCGGAGAACGCGAATGGTCCTTACAGCGTGCTCAATTCTCAACCGAGCGGCCCGTACTCCGTTCTCAACACACAGAATGGACCGTACACGCCTAGCACGGCCTCTTACAGCGTTCTGGAGACGCCGGTGCCCCTGTGGGGCCCACCGCCGCCTTACAGCGACCCGAACAGCCCTGCCAGGAGACCGCAAGTAGCCGAACAGAGGCCCAGGATCGCCAAACGAATCGAGAATTTCGAGAACAACGAAGGTAACCATTCATGCTACTCGTAGGTATACGAAACCGGTTGCATTGTAACCCGTGCGAAACGAAAAAGACATAGCGAGCGGGAACCATGTTCTTCGAGGCATAACCTTATGGTGTCAGATCACAGACCTAGACCAGCGAAACGTCCCTCGGACAATTACGAGAACGCCGAAGAAATATCGAACAGCACCGACCCCGAGGGCGTGAACGAGGGCACGATGAAGAGCAGGAGGATCAGGAAGCCGCTGAAAGGCGTGGAGAACGGGGCGTTTCAGCAGGAGGCGAATCCTGGACCGAAACAGTCGGAGAGCGAGCTCTATTTCGGAGACGTGTCGTCGTGTTGCGGCCCCGAGAGCAGCTTCTACGATCTGGCCGTCGAGAAAGAAGGTATAGAATCGAATGATCGGGAACCGAGCACTTTAATAACGATTACTGAATGGTCAGACGATCAATTTCCGACAGGAGCGGAGCATTCCGAGGGCGTCGACTACCTGGCGGCCCGTTTAGGCAAGCGACAGCTCTCCAAACGATCCAGACTGCCTCTTCCGCTGCCATCGGACAGCGGCGACATACCGTCCGACAACTACGCGAACAGCGACGAACCGAGGACTGCCAGAGGACCGTTCCTAGCTCCCGACGCGCAGTACGAGGTGATCCAACAGGGACGCTACTCGTATTACGCGTCGAAAGACGACGAACAGCTGCAGGAGGGCCCGGCGACCTCCGGTTACTTCAGAGAGGAGGAGACTGACAGGGCCAGGGAGAGAGACTACAGGGACTATAGAAGCAATCAGGAAGAAGAAACGCCCCAATGCTGTCTGAGCGACTCGACGACGCTGGACTCTGGCTGGCAAAGCGGCGAACAGCAACAGTCGGACGACAATGTTCGACCGGTGAACGTGTAACCGCGTTTCAGGAGCTTAAAGATTAATACCGCCAGGAAACTGTAGGTCTACCGAACGTTGAAGACTGTGCCGAGTGTCTGAGAAGAAGGTGGATGGCTAGATTAATGTAGTGACGTGACTCCACTTTTCTTTGAAAGATTGCGCGTCGCAGAGTCGACGGGAGAATCCGTGGCGTAGTAGAATAGTAGAAGGCAACTTACTCGCTGACACTTTTCCCGCGGGTTGTAACGCTCGGTAGATCTACACACGGTGGAAGAATTCTTCGAGAGAAACAGAACTTACAGTACAACTCGTCCTTTGATTTCCGAGAGAATAATCATTGGAGAACCGTGTCCGTTTTAGTCTTTTATTGCGTTTTCTGTTTGTAGAAAGCCGCGAGTCTAGCCGAATTTGCGTACGCGAATCAAACGGAGAGTGGTAGGATAGAAAAGTGGGCGCAAGTCGAGGGAGATTACCGCATCCGTAATAGAGTCGTAAGCGATGTGATTTGTCGTGGTACAGTTTAGCGTAAGATAAACAACGTAAACCTTAATCGTTAGGATCTAAGTGAACAAAGACGCGCCGCGCCGCGTCGTTCGAAGTCTGAAGTGGATTGCGAGCCGCAAATTCATACGTGTTTGCGTGGAATCCTACCGTAGCCAGGTATTTTTGTTAATTAAGCGATGTCGCCCGTGTTGTTTGTAGCATTAATCGTTGATGTACGCCGAAGAGAAGACTCGCACGCGAGGAGACGGGGAGAGAGGGGAGGAATAATTAGTTTCATAGGTGAAACGTCGAAGAAAAGGCCTCGCAGGACGACAAGAAAGTTTCCGAAAGTCACGTTGCCCCTCCGACGGAGGACCTTTTCTTCGTGCGCTCGTTAGAAACGTCCATGTACAAACGTGTGCTTTACTCTTGCCAATACCTTGCTAGATGTCAGCTCGATTTCACACTTAGCCGCTAATCGTTGCAAAAACTGTTCACCGTTAAGCGTCACGTTCGGATTCGCAGCGCCGGCGAAGGTTTCGTCGGGTCTGCCGAGTGTTCGGTCACTGCCAACGGTGTGTGTATCCTGATCGTGGAACGTCCCTCGACTACCAGGCGCGCGGAGAGCCGACGAAACGTTTCGGCGTGCCGCGGAATTCGCGGCGAAGTCTGACTTTCACGAATTTACATCTACACACGCTCTCGTTTTTACGATTCCTTTCCTTTTTCTAACGAAAAACGCGGATCCGCCGCGTGCCGCGGCCCTCGAGCAATTTGATTTAGACCGCCACGGTCTACGTCAGCTTCGTCGAGCATGTTGCGCCGCAATGCCGCGTTCGCTCTCGAGATACAAATTCAGGTGGACCAAGAAAAAGATTACGCGCAGCGGAACGATCGAGCCTGCTCGGCTAACGTACCGGATTACTTAACTATCGACCGTTTATCGCCGTTCGTCAACCGTACGTTGCGCAACACGCGAAGCAGATGAATATTTTATAGTCGGGATACCCAGGCGTGAAAGAGACAAAAGCTAGCTTGAGGGAGTAGTTTAACGTTGTGTACTCGATAAAGTGTACCTTAAGAGCGATCTACGTAGCAAGTCGAACGATGTAACTGATCATTAATGAGAAATAAAGCTTCGTTTTGTAAAGAAACGGTGTGACAGGGGACCCTCGGTGAATCCTAGAAATTCGTTCGAGCGCTAATAAACTCGGAGAGCACACAATCGAACATTCGACTCAGGTCTGTTTGTTACAATTCTTCTCCACGCCAGATCGAACGCGGAGAACCGTTGGACAAACACGTTTTCCCGAAATAAACCGGTATTATTTGTTTGAAAGGAAACGGTGATCCAATTAAAAAGGAACGGGCGCAGAGCCGACGGTAATTGCTCCTCTGTCAACAGTTCTATCTCGATCGATATGTCGCAGAAATACGCCCAGGTAAGCATTTAACGAGGAATGCGGGCTCTATTGCCACGGCGAGACCTATTGTCAGCAATTTTCTTGGTAAACTCCCGCGCTCTCCGCGTTGGCCAATATCAGATTATGGGATTTCGCAACCGGTGGCACGATCGTTGAACTTTCGCAACACGTATATGCGCGCGTACGAGAGCTCGAACCCATTGTGGGCAACGTTCGCCCCGCTCGATCTAGATCGAATCGGCACACCAGGAAAACGGGACTATAATTCTCACCGTATCGTTCGACCGTTGTTTCATATTCGTATTCAAGTTCAATCGAATACTATACCGGGCGAAAAGCATTCGAAATCGAGACTGTTCAGCGCCATCGCGGAAACAATCGTTCGCTCGTGGTACACGCGAGAAAACTTCATTCGAACGACCGACCGCTGGCTATCTTTCGAAAATTCCGAATAAGGAACAATGGAACCGGTTACGCGAGAGGAGTCCGCTTATCATTCCCGTCGTGCAACCGGCGACTGTACAGAAATTTCCCCGAGTCGTAGTTTCGCGAACTAGAACATTCTATCCGTGCACCATTGTCCGGAACCGTTCGACGCTCACGCGGAAGGTTTAATTAACCGCGAACGAGCGCATCGCTCGAATTGAATAAATCGCAATTAACCATTTTCCAGGATCGCGTCGTGATTGATACGATCTCCCCGAATGAAGACTCGTTGCGAACAACTACCGTTCCTTAACTGTATACAGTCTGAATCGGCCGCGGCGCACGGCCGTGTCGCAATCGTGGCCGACTTCGCGAGATCCTATTCACTTACAAATTACATACAATACGTTTCAATTGCCTCGAATTAATTAATGAAGCGGCGAAGGAACGAAGAAAATTGCCGGGTATCCCATGAAAGTTTATTAGACACGTTGCATAATGCGAGTCGGCCGGTCGGCCGACCTTACAGCCACGGAATTCAGGAGCGACGCTACTAGCCTACGGTGTGAGATCGATAAACGCTACAACAGATTTCTCGATTCGTCGTTTTCCTTTTTTCATAATCAAGACCGCCATCGTTCCTACACATTGTTCCTTTTCTGTTCCTCGCGGTCCTTTCACGCGCGGCCCACTTTCCCCCTCAAGAACAGGATCCCTCGACGACCCTGTGCGCCGCTTGGTTCGCCAAGAACCTCTCCACCCTCTCTCTGAACTCCCTGCTAGACTCCGGTAACGGTAACCTAGGCCCTGGGTTCCTCAGACCGTGCAGCGCGCTCAAATTCTGCAAGCTCTCCGACAACCTTCGATCGTGATCCAGGACGCACGGCCTCGGTGCCGGCGATTTCCTCTTCCCCAGACCGGCGTGCTCCGAACTCTCTCGGCCAGTCACGTGATTCGCGTAGCTCGACTCAGGCAATCGGTTCATCATCCCCCGTAACGCTATCCTGGCGCTCAGCGTCGACCAGAACGCTTCGAAGAGGGACGCGACCAGAACGTTCACCGTCAGAAAGATATCCGCGTGCGACAGGTTCTGATAATGCTTCGACCAGATCGACACCACTCTGTTCTTTATAGTCAACACGGACTCGTCCGTGACATTACCGGAGTCCTCTTGCATGTTCCCCTTAGACGCCATCGGGGAACCTTTTCCTGAAACGGTATCGTTGACTGACATTTCGCCTGGAATCTCGGAGTCGAACCCGCCAGGACTGCTCGTCGATGCTCTCAAGATGTATCCAGATATGTTCGACATATTATCGAGGACGATCCCAGGAGTGGGGTCGTTGAAATTGACGTTATGAAGCTGATCGTAGACACTGGTCGCGTTGAACGTCTCTTCGTCGATGGACGCGGTTTCGTTCAGCAGAGTCTTGTTGGTCAGGTGTTTCTCCAGGTGCGACGGGTCCCGAGGCTGATCGAGGATCTCCTCCAAGGACCACACGGACCCTCCGGAGTTCCCGACCGCGGTCGCGATATCGAAAACCATGCTGATGAAACAGAGAACCGCCGCGATCAGGGAGAACAGGCTCCCGTAGAAAAAAATTGCGATGTTCCGATCGATGTACCACCTTCTCCAAGCGAGCACGCCCGTCACGAAGGGAACCAGACAAGCGGCCGATAGTATTGGTCCTTGAAGAGACACGTTTAGACTGCCGAGCAACAGGGAAAGCGCGCCGAGTCCGAAGTGGACGAAGGACAGACCTCCCACGGTCGACGCGGAATAGCGTCTTTCCGAAGGGTACAAGGATGATATCGGCGGCTTGGTTTTCACCTTTATCACGTACACGTTCTCCATCATTGTCCGTTCGCTGCGGGCTGATCAGGCAAACCGAGGTCCTCGCACGCGAGCCTGTTCGCAGCCGGTTAGAACAGGCAGAAGGAAATTGTCGACGGTAAGAGGGAAAATTTTCGCGCACCTGCCGCGCGGCAGTGCATCGTCGCTCGATTTCCTAGATACGCATACGTGAAATATCGAGCCGGTGTCCAACGGAAATTGCTCAGCGCTTCCTGTTGCTTCGGAACAAAGAGCACTTGACCGTGAACGAAATGTACCGGGTGACACCAGTCCACGGGAAACGCTCGTCTGTGTGTTACATGTACGTGTGTACGTGTATACGTGCGAGCGCGTGTATGCCAGCACGCGACACACGAGAATCGACTCTCGCCGAGGTGAATCGAGACTGGTTCCACTGTCGTCGCGGCCGGCCAGCCGGCAGTCGTAATAATTCTTCACTGGCTACGCCGCGTTCATCCAGCAGAAGTCTTCGATAATTTCCGGGCTGGCAGTACGAGGCGGCCGGCCAATTATGCTAACCGCTCCGGAGTTAATTGAAATCCTCGTGGCTGCGTCGCGCGGATTTTCTTCGTGACTCGCGGGCTCGCGTTGCGCAACTCCCCCGCAACAATGGAACGAGAACGAACAACCGGGGAAGAAAGAACAGTCTAACCGAGGTGGATCCAATGAGCGGTGAACAGATCCGTGGAAACACAAACGCGCCGAGGGTTACTTCCACGTTCTTCTTTCTTCGTTGTTTTGCCACAGAGTTCGCCTCGCCGGTGAATATTATGCAATGCCAGTTGATTACGAGGCGATGCAATTATACGGCTGCACGCGTGCACCGGTGTGCGCCAGCTCGCTCGAGTTTTCTCAGACTCCGTTTTCACCGGTTTCTTGATTCCCTTTAGCGAACCGCTACCCGGTTCTCCGCGATCTCTTGGGAAATCAACGATCCGAGCAATATCCGCTGGCCAGAATTGCCTCAATAATAAATCGATTGTCTCCGATTGATCTTGCGGCTGATTGCACCGTGATTCGGTATTTTCCTCGACGTTTCGCTCGGAAATGCTTGTCGTTTGATCGAACGTTTTTGTTAACCGCTTAATTAACACTGTTCGGAGTCTCACAAGCTGGTGACGGGTCCCGTTTACACACTCCAGATGCTTCGAATTTTTGAAATCGTTCTCGATAACGGAATCAATTGAAGTCGATCGCTGTTGAATCGACGTCTCGTCGTTCCCATTCGATCACGTTCCACTGAGTCCCGATTAAGCACGCGTGTCTTTTCGGCGTGATACTTGTCACTCGAAATCCACGGTTAATTTAGTGACTGTCCGCGGTAGACACTCCGACAGAGACTGAACCGCGAAGACTAGTTCTCGCTGAAATTGCTACGAGATCCTGAACGGGCCTCCCACGCGGTCGGTTCGCAGTGAAAGGGACAACGGCGGATAGATGAACCTTCGCGTTGTTTTAAGCCTTCTTCACACCACTTTCCGCGATCGCGAAACGATGTCACGCTTACCAATGAGAAAAAGGAATCGGCTCGCTCCGCCGCGTATATTCATAACCCTCGCATTATGTAAAGTCCGTCGGCTGCTCCAGTTCTCATGTAACGCATTGCGCTACAGGAAGATGCCCGACAGCGAGAGTAGCAGCGGAGAAGCTAATTCTAGCGTCGCGGGTAACTACCGTAGAACCGGAATGACGATTAACGAATCTCGGTGGAAAATATTGCGTGCAATCCACGCAGATACTTGAACGCGTCTCTAGACCAACAATAGGGACTGAACGAATCCCAAGATCGTCACGAAGGATCACTATGACCTTTATTCTTCGCAGTGGAAGTTCGCACAGGCTCGGCAGTCGACCTTTTCGCGAAGCTATTGCCAAAGAACGACACAAAGGTGAGTTTACTACCGATTTTATTCCCTGGCAAGATTTTGGGCGCAACGCGATTACCACCTACCATCACCGCCGACTGACACGTCTTGCAAAACGATTCCCGACTAAGCGCTGACTAATTAAGGTGGCGAAGGATGGCCGGTATTAACTGGACAATTAAAAGAAGAATTAATACGGATCATCGGGTCAATTGTACCTCGTAAAACCTTTGTTTGACCGACAAGAATTAGCGGACGGTTGTTTTGTATCTGAATTACCGTTGCCGGGGCAGTAGTTTAAAGCGTCGCGCGGCCATCAGCTTCCATAAGCTGTTAATTCGACCTTCTGCCCCCATCTCTGCGAATAATAGAACGGAGCCTGGTTGAACATCAAACTGGCAATGGAACGAGGTTCGATGACTCAGGGCACGGCCTGGCCGACAAAAGATGAACGAAACGGCAGGACACGCGTTCCGGCGCGTGTCGCGTGAATAAGCGCGCACGTGCACGCTCGCGTTTTCCGAATCGATCACCGTTGGGCTATCCTCGCGTGCGATCGCTTCCCATTTCGCGGGCCACGGATCATCGAACAAACGAGGAGCGAGCAAGCGCGTTCACCGTTAGCGATTCAGAGAATTCCAAAAGAAATCGAACCGCGAAAAACTAGAAGCGAAATCGTGGGGGCCTATCGCGGCGCAAGAAAAGAGAAAAGTGGACTTTCTCGAACTTCCGGAGCGGAATTCGTACGTCATCGATCAATCGCTCGAGCGGAAAATCTACTACACTTTCCTGAACAATGATTATTAACGCCGCAAACGGTTCGGACGAACGGCTCCGCCTGATGGAGGCGAAAACAAAACGGTTCGAATAAATCGGGGGTCTTAAACGCACGACGCGATCGATGTAAAACGATCCGTCCGTTCGACACGATACTCCCGTGCTTATCGCTTATGTAAACGAACTAGAAAACACACGTTAACGGCGATCGAAAGGAAAGTTGATATGGTTCCATAGACACTCTGCCCCCGAATCCTATTTTCACCGCGACGCATGCCTTTCGATATTTTTCTATACAAGTTTCTCGAATATCGCGCGAAAAAATCGGCGAACCCGCTGAAGCGTGAAACCAACGGTTTTTTTTTTGTGGGAAATCGATCGTTCCCCGTGGCGATCGATTGGGTCATTTGTAATGTCTCGATGCAGCGATCAAATCACCGTGGTTGATTTGCCAACGACGCCGTCGCGCCTTTCGTTCGTGGATCCGACCGCGTCGGGTGCACTTCCCTGTTCCTCGAAATGACTTTTCGTCCGTTAACGCCGAGCGCACCGGTACGTACGAGCCAACAGTGCATTCGGCGCCCGTAGAGTGAAAGATAAAGAGCGCGTTTGTGATCGAAACGCGTCTGTGTTGGAGCAGCTGTTGCGACTGGGGCACGCGTCCCAACGGTCGCGGCAGCTGCCCAGAAAATTATCTATAGTACCCTCGACTGGAGTTCTTTTACAGCATACACACGCACCCACGTGCACACACACTTCCGAACTTCCTGATTCTCGTACGATCATTTGCAACGAATATTTCTGGCGAATGTGCTACGAATAATTTGGAAGTGCTTACGATTCTGAAGGGAATTTTCAACCGCAAGAACCTTATTTCGTTATTATTTCGTTAGTCCTTTCACTTCAACGTAAAACCTCAACTACATTCATAAATGCACAAGTCCCACGTACGTTGGATAATTCTTATTTTATGTTAATTTCAAGAATACCAGTAGTGTTTATACAGTTTTCTCTATTGGATTGTATCCTCAACCGATTTTAACCGTTCTTTACGCATCTTTCGAGGACAAGCGATTTCGCTGCTAAGAGAATCATTAACAAGCGATAGAATCGTTATCCGACGAGAAAGGCGTTTAATTGAAAAAAATTAATATCTTGTGGGATTTAAAGTTTAAATGTCGCGGTCGTGGAGCGACGAGGGGACACTGAAAACGCGGTCATGTAAATTCCTCGACGTGCTATCGAGGGTTGCGCTAACATAGAAAACGTTCGAAGAAACGTACTATAAGCAACGGAGCCCCCACCCCGCGATGGGACAGCAGGCCCGCATTATGTGAACCCCCTGACAACCCCTCAGGTCGTATGGAGCACGAACACACGCTTACCCGCTCGCGAACGCATGGAGGAACGCCCTTCGTGCATCTGCTCTTAAGGGATCTCATGTGGCAGTTTGTTGCAGGCGACCGTGCTGCACGGACCGAGCGCAATTGGAGAGCATCGGACTTTGCCCCCACGGACTCGTGAGCGTTTCGAGGAATATCTGAAAGCCGCGGAAAGCGGAGGGACATTTTCACGCGAGAAAAATACAGTGTCCTCTCGGAACGTTCCCCAGACGCTCGAGCAAGGAATTCTAACGACGGCCTAGCGGATAGTGTTTGAACATGTTCTCGTGAACCCTGTGCGGAAGGAGTCCTATCGTCGAGTGCTCGTCGCCTGTTCAACGATTGAAAATGTGTAAGAAATTCCCGGACACATCTCTGGACGTCGGCTCAATACCACTACAGTTTCGCGCTACGGAGATCTCGTACCCGGAAAACTTCTACCCGGCTGCCACCTTCACGGAGCAATCGTCGCCGCGTACTTACATCAGCAGTTTGTACGTGGTCATCGGAAATCGACGGGCTCGCAACGCTTGAAACGTCTGCGACGCTGGGAACGATAACTGCGAGCGCGCGGTGACGAGTGTGTCGCGCGTGTACGTCTTAATAGGGAATCATCCATTTACGTCTCGCACGCGAACCATCGATACGCGGTGCCTCGCGTCCGACGAGGGAAGTCGCGCGAGGAACAAAAACGCCTCGTTCCAGAGACATTAATCAAACTCGACGCGAGTCATTCACGGCGCGATACGGACCGATAAAGCGGCACGATGGCTCAGACATCGGAACCGGTCCCGGTGCACTGTTACACCAATCCCTCGTTCTGCCGGCAATCAGAATACATTCCGGACGATCAGGCGACTGATTTGCCGCCGCCACCGCAATTTCAGACCGTGGACGATCTGCCGCCCCCGCCGCCTCCGTTGCAGCTGCAGATGCAGTGCAGCGGAGGTCAGAGCAACCCGGCTTTCCAAGGGACCGCGGAAAGCGGGATCGAGAACTGCGTGACCAGGGACAGATATTGCTACCTGGAGGAGAACAGAACAGTCGCGCATCGTAGATACGCGAGCGTTCCGGTGGAGGAGTCCCGCTCGTACAATCAAAATTCAAGGTACGAGTACATATCGGACGAGCAACAACAGCAGCAGCAAAGGGGCCTGTTCCAAAGGAGGGGCTCCTCGAGGTACGACTTCATTTCGCAGCAGCAGGTGCAACAACGTTCCGCAACGGCGGCCAACCAAGACGAGGGTCGGGAGCTACAGGCGCAAATCTGCCGGAACAACGCCGGAAGATACGCCATTGTACCGGGTGATCCCGATTTCCAGGACGACGATGCCGCTTGGAGTTCGGCGAAGCACGTGTCCCCTATGCGACGACACATCAACACGCCGCAGGGTAAGTTGGAGAGATCGATTAAACGATGAACGTTGAATCGAATCCTCGGGACGCGCGTATTCCTCGCCGGCTGCTAATTTTATCCTTCGGTAGAACGGGATGCTTAAGATTCCCTTGATTTTCTCTCGTCAGTAAGCGGTACCGTGTTACTAGGTCGTTACAGCAGAGTGCCCTTGCAAGAAGAAGACCCTCCGGCACTTCCCGAGAGGAACGGGCAGGAGATCTCGGTCTCGCCGCGGAATAACTTAGCCACGCAAAAACTACACGAGATATTGACCACTCCCAGGAAGCCACGGTCCAGGTCCGAGGAAAGAACCCTGTCTCCGAAGAGACACCACTCGTTCAATCAAACCGGTACGCCACAAAGAAGAGCGCTGACTCCAGGTGGCTCACCAACCGGTATGCGACTCTTTGGCAAATATGTCTTCGACGTAATTGCGTCTCTGACGTCTTTCAGGGCCGGAATAATCGATGTTATAGTACTCGAGACGATCTTTTCATGGATTTTCAGGTCGAACCTTCAGCCCTAGTCGATCCACGCCTCAAGGAACGCCGCAGAATCGCGCGTACTCCTCTACGGGGCCTCAGACGTCCACCCCGAACAAAGAGTCCTCGGCTAGGAGGTGTTTGCCGCTTTTGGAGAACACCTCGCGGCAGCAGGACATCTGCCCGGCCAGTAACTGTGGAAGACTCCGGTATGTCGGCACAGCTCCGGTCGACCTTGCGTCGATGGGTCATGGCGATCCACTGCCTCGGTACGCGTACATGGAAAACGGACCGGAGTCTTTGCCAATGGTGTCCGGTTCATCGAGGTATCAGGTGGTACCCGCGGGACAGAAAAGGAACGGCTATCAAAGCGTGGAAAGCGCGTTCATCGCTAGAACCGCGGTGGTGAGCACATACACAGAGGTTCGGGGTTAACGTGTTCACCGCAGTGACGCAACGTTGACTCGCGGAAAGGAAGACACGAAGATGATCTAACCATGTCACGCGCGTTTCTTTAGGTTCCACCGCTATCACCGCCGCCCAGTGATGCAAACACAACCTTGGCCAGTGGTTTGGAGAAAAACGATAGGAGAAACGCCCCGCTATTATTGGTTCTCGTTGGTATCTTAACCTGCGGCCTGGCGTTATATTTATCTTGGACGCAAGGAAGAAGGTAGATGTTTGCCTCGGCAAACTGGACAACGGTCTTAGAGCCGGCTCGAGCGTTTAACGAATTAATGCCCCTTCGCAGGTATTACTACGACAGCGCGGCAGGTTGCGGAGCGTGTTGCACTCTGGCTGGTGCTTGCAGGACGTTGAGAAGAACTTGGACTGGTCTTGGTCTTGCTGGACTCTCGGCGCTGAGCTGCGCGGGACTTTTACTGCTCGCCGCGAAGTCCCCGAAAGCTGGCACACCTCTACACGACGTTACAGCTGGTGCTCTTTGCGGCGTTTCTCTGCTGGGTGCTGCTTTAGCATTGCTAGCACTGCTAGCGCCGAGATGCAACTTCGGACGACACAGAAGGGTGCACTCCTGGATCACCTCGTCTGTCCCCCTGACTTCGCAGAGATCGTTCCGCGCGGTATGAACGCGGTTTCCACGGTCCGTGCGAAACTTGTCGACCATGTACGCGATTCCAAATCGAGCGAAAATAAACAATCCTAGTCTGCCTTTGTAGCGAGAGTGCGAATTATCGTACAGTTGTATGTAAGAGACGAGAATTATTTTCGAGCCGGTGGTGTCTGTATGTACAAGACTTTTATAACGAAGCCAAATAAACATGTAGGTAATGCGTATGTTGTAGATTGTAATATTTCGAGAGAATGCTCATGATATGTACCTAAGCACGAGACTTTATGTATTCTTAAGAGGGATAATTATCTTAGTAACGATGTATTTTGCATTGATTTTTAAAAGAAAATTGAAAACGACAAACTGTGTGACGCTTCTGTACACATCGACGAACCGTTCCCTTAGATTTATCGTTTCTGGGTACATCGTAATGCCGGATATATTCCTTATCGCAGATTCGCCCATAGGAAGTTCATTTCCTTCGAGCAGCGTAGAATTTCATTTTCCGAGTTTGTCGCAGACCGCTACGCGGCACAACGGTCGCGACGATGAGGAACACGGTACAATAATGAAATACAGTCTCACGGAAAGAAGTAAAGGGACATTGTGCTAGTGATGGTGCCACATGATTATCAGTGTTTTCTATGCTCGTAATATACTTCACCTTGTAACGTCTAACGATGAGTGTATTGGAGATACTGCTTCTCACGATACAATTCTCTGTTACTAATGGACGATTAACCGTCCTCGGGGGACCACTTTGGGAAGAGAGAAAATTGATTTGCGTCTCGGAGAACGATGGTAGCAGTTTAGTGTGGAACTATGATATTACTCCGCAAACCAATGCGCCTTGTAAGTTCCATAGAAATTAAACCTACATACGCGTGTTCTTTCACAATAAAATCTGGAGAGATATAAATATTATGAAAATAGCTGCATACAGTAACAGGCGTGCGTTACCAAATTTTCTTGAGATTGCAACCTTTATGCCTTGCAGTGAATATAAATTTCAGCTTTCCTTCAAGCGCCAAACTATCTGAAAAATGTCATAGATTGCGATTTAAACATACGCAATGAATGCTTCTCAAATTGGGGAACTGACGGTTGGAACTTGACTAGTTCCATGGAGACACCGATGGGACCAGTGTGCGATTATCGATGGGAAGGTTCGGCTTTCTAAATCGACGATCCCCGGAATAAAATTGGAGTTAACATTTACGTTTATAGGATTCAAGGAGTTCATGAGTTTGGGATATACATATAGTTCTATCGATAAATTAAGAGGAAGTAAATCGTTCGCGGTTTCTATTCGTGGATCGAACGACGGTTACATACTGCTCTGCGAGGGCGAGAAATACACCACTGACTTCTGCTACTGGATAATTATCAGTGGTTGGAACAACATGCGATCCACCATTCGGAAATGCGCGAACGGCGTATCGGAACCAAATATGTATTCGTCGGATGATTCGTGCAAAATGAATAGACTAGAATATTCGGTGATTCTTCTAATAATTCTATTCTACCCGAATTTCCTTGTTCCTGACTACCTAATCATGATTAGTTATTATCTGTAATGCAGAAAAAATCACTCTCCCAGTTCGAATGGAGGACGTTTGTAGTCACGTGGAACAAAAATACGAGGAATATCTCGGTTTACGATGACAACAACTTGATTTTAACGTATGTAGATAACGAAACAAGGAGAGAGGAACAGTTACCGAAAACCGATACCAATCACAGTATATTCCTGGCGAGCAAAATTCCGATGCTGTTTCGACTTCACCTGTGTGAGCGTTCGAATTTACTTGTGTCCGCAGACATTATCGAAATGCAATTAAAGTGGTCGGTAATGGAAACAGTAACACTATTATAGATCTATTTCAGACGACTTCCTTTACACAACCGATCGAAACGCAGTCCTCAGGAGTCCCGAACTTCTATGCAACACGAATCTTTGCGTAGAAATGGCGATCGGATTGTGCGCCGAATGTAAATTGGAATTAATTCTGGTAAATCGTTCCACGGAGGAGGAGAGTCTAGAAGTCATAAAGGGATCTACAGTGGCTGGTGCTCATGGTTTGCCCACGTGGCAATACGCGCGAATAAACAAAACGATTTCGTCCAACTTAGGAAAGCGTGTTACGATCAAAATGGTCCCACAGCTCGATCGAGAAACTCCGAAGCCATTGTGGGCGGTAGCAAACGTCCGCATGTGTCCACCGATAGGTGTGTTTTGAACTGGTTCGTTAACAAATTCAACGAATTCTGCGCTCAGTGATTTCTATTCTTACAGGTTCCACGCGAAAAAGTACCTATTTTAAGCCCAAATCCGATTGGCAGCATATTGCTTGCCAGAAACTCTTCTACAATGAAAGTATTGTCGTGAGTCCCATGCCTCGTGTCACCCCCGACTTAGACTTCGGTAAATGTTAATAATACTCATGCAAATGTCATCACAGTAGTGTAACACGAGAGTCGTCTATTATTGCCCATAGGTGATTCAAAATGTCCCGAAGGCAAAGTAGGACCGTATTGCTCTATCGATTGCCAGTTGGATTTACAACTAAGCAGTGACTGTTATAGAGCGGTGATTTGCGAAAAATCGGGTTGCACGTGTCCACCAGGCTACATCGACGAATATTGCAGTAGAAGTAACGAATTTTATAGAAAATTATCATTACTGTCGATGCATATAACATTTTGATTATATTAAGTATTATCGTTTCAAATATCATTCTTATTCTCGAACAACAAGTCTTATTATTAAGTTTCCGTTGCAGAATGCGACTTCCCATACTATGGACAGAACTGCAATTACACTTGTGGACAGTGTAATAATGATGCTTGTAACTTTCGAACCGGAATATGCGAACAGGGTTGCAAGGACTCGGAAGGGAACAGAATTGAACCCTTTTGTGATAAAGGTAAACAATTGATACGAGACTTTTTGCAATTAAATGGCAATAATTTCTGTACTCTGTTATAGTTATTAATGTTCCTCCGTTACTGAATATCACTTTTCTCAACGCAACGTCCGTTCGTGTTGTTGTCCCGGAAAAGAATGAGTACAAACTGATAAATCCGTATATCTTTTTCACTATAAAGGTAATTGGAACGCGCTTACTTTTGTACTTTATAAGTAACCCACATAATGGGACTTTTCTGTCCATTAGGAGGAGGGTAAAATATATAGCCACAGCATTGAAGCTGTCAGCAATGGTACTCACATTATCGGAATCATAGACTCCTTAAAACCTGGTGTTTCATATCAGGTTGCATGCAATTTCAGAATTAATACCATATACAAACACGGAAAATGGAACAATTTTACAACTCTCTGCAGTGGTAAGTCATTACCATTCCGAATCGCCTCTGATAACTATGTAGTCTCTGAATGTAAAATAAATATTCCAGCGAGCAAAAACTTTGAAGTAGAACTAAAGAGCAGGAGTTTAACATTGAAGACGATTAACCAACAATTCGTATGTAACGAACATTCTGAAACGACACTCTAAAACGGAAACCTCATTAAAAGGTGACTGATTTTCAGGATTCCTGCCCGACTAAGTGGTACAATTTCGTTATCGAAAACCCGAAACTGAACACAGTATTTTATAACGCATCTCTGGACAGTTTACCGTACAAGTTTCACAGTTTGCAGCCGTATACTATTTACAAAATTACCATCAACAGAGGTCCGAACACATATTTCTCGCGCAAAGTCCGAACTCTTGATGCAGGTGAATAGAAATACTCGTTGTCACGTGTTACCTTAAATGTGTTAATTAATAAGATACTTGAAGCAGCTGTTCACATTAACAGCGCCGTCCAAAGTGAGAAATATTGCACTGGTAAGGACTTCGAACTCGGTTACGTTAACATGGATGTCTCCTAAGAATAAAAACGGGATCATAAAACGATACGAGATTGTTCTGAAGGTAACGAACGTGCTCAAAACAATAGAAAAAACGAATAACCAAATACAAAGATGCGAATACGCAGAAGTACATTGATCATGATTACTAGGTCGAATCGTATATTGGTTGTCTCGATCTTAAAAAGGATTTTCCGAAGAAGGAGATCAGGAGGTCTACCCTATCGTGCAACATAACAATCGCTGAACTGGCTCCGCATGTCACCTACGTTGCAAAAATCGCAGCCTGCACCTCCGAATGCGGTAGCGAAATTGAAAAAAAATTTACCACCGAAGCAGCCGGTAAGCCGTCACCAATATTTTATGTAATCCATAAGCGTTTCGTCGAATATTCTATCGATACTTTCACCATTCAGAAATTCCCAGTGAGATCTACAGTGAATTAAGAATTGAGGATTTCGTGCTGCACTGGAATCCACCAGAAGATTGCACCACGATTTCTGGCACTATGTACACCAGACTGCTTTTTCGAGGTCTTAGTAAGTCAGTGGCGAACAACACTTACGACAAACAAACTTCGGGTTACAGTATCGACTTGAGAACGTTTCTTCACGGTGCGGAGGAATACGAAGTATCGGTGTACGCGACACGAGATTTCCATAAAAAATACAATGCGTCTGCTTTTCAGAGGATCAGTTTTATCACGCCACCGAAAGGTTCGTAACACCTTTTCACAACTTTCTGAGCAACGTAGGGTTTTTGAGTAGATACCTAACGAAAGATTTATGTATAACAGCCCCACCGCCTGTAACAGAGCTGGGTATATACGAGGTAAACAATGAAAATAAGGGTTTAATCCTACACTTGAGATGGAAAGAACCAGAACCACCGACTAACGGGAAAATAGAACACTACGTTGTGTTGCAAAATCATAATAAATATGAAACACCATTACAAACAGTATTGCCGACTGAGTATTGCCCCTTTTGGGTGAAATACATCTGCGCAACAATTGAACTTAGCCACAAATGGAAAACTAAACAGATTCAGGTGAGCAGAATTCAACTTTAAATTATTCGTAACGTTAGAATTTTTGCGCGTAACGAGCTACTAGACGTGATAATCGACAGGTTGCAGCCCAAAATGAAAATGTACCGGACAAAGGCATTAGGACATCCGTTAATGTCATCACGTCCGAATTTTTGCCAGATATGCCTAACTCCTTCGACGTGAAAGCTCTCGCACAGGGAGTGGTAAACGTGACCTGGTCTCATCCGTGGCGAACAGGCGGACAACTTAGGAGGTTTCTCATATTTACAGAGACGATTTCGACCTGTCTGAAATCGGCGAAACTGAAGGAAAAGTCGCCGTACGAATATCCGGTGCTGAAATACCAAGCGCTGTACAACAAACAGTTTCATTTAATGCCATCGACCGCCTATAACATTAAAATTATTGTCGAGACAATCGCCGGTGCGAAGAGTTCAGAAATGTCCAAACAAGTGAAAACACCTTCGGCAACGGGATTCAAAAATGATCCGACCGTGGAAACAGGCACCGAAGATTCAACAGTACTGTTGCACATTCCTGCGATTGTGAACGACACAAAAAACAGTGTAATGCATGTAGTGGTAATAGGTTCGAAACCCTGCGACCATTCCGCCAAGGCGACTCCTGTACGTTCCGAGAAGACGAATATTACGTTCATCGAGATCGCGTGGCGCGTCGCTACATTTCCCGTAAGTATCTCTAAACTCGATTATCATTGATAGGTTGCGGATTCGTATGATCTTACAGTAAACTTCACGAAATATCGGCTGAGCATAAGTTTCAAAACGCAAGTGCACTTGAACGTCCATGATCTAATGACTTACGACCTATGGAATGGCCGTAATTTTCTTGCATGACACAGACGGACAAGTTCGCGGGGAGAACGTTTACAGTGGGCGACAACAAACTCTACGAAGGTGCAATAAATTGCCCGCTAAAACGTCAAGAGTTCTATACGATAGCGGTCGTTTTGCAACTCGAGGAAGGACCGATGAGCGGTGAGATTAAAGTCGCAAAAACGCCATCGTTCTATATCGGTGAATTGCCGAAAGGACATATCAAAGTGTGGCTTATCCCTATCGTGATATGCCTCATCGTGGCGGCCATCGGGTATTATCTTTACCAAAGGTGCGAGCAGTCATTCGACGCGCGAACGGAGAATTTGTTGCTCACATGTGCGATCGTTTGTATTTGTGACAGGAAAACGAAGGTACCGTCGACGAACGTCGTTCTACAGGAGGGAATGGCTTCCGCTCGAAATTCTGTAATCCCCGAAAACAACGAGTTATCGAATGTAAATCGAATTTTAGCCGTTACGCCCGATACTTTCCATAAAGAACGTTTATCGCACTTTAACACGCCGCACAACAGTCCTCTCGCGCATGATGCACGCGAAGATGGAAGTAAAGTAAAACCTCCGGTGGAAGTAAAGAATTTCGAGGATTACGTGAAGCAAGCGATTGACTCGGGACTCCTCGACAAGCAATTCAATGTAAATCCTCCGCTGTTCAAATTTATTTTCCAAATGTTTCCTGCCGTTTCGCTTAGGCGATCGTTTAATTCTTCTTTTGTCGGAAGACGCTGCCCAGGGGACAGACGAAACCATGGGATTACGGCAAGCTACCACAGAATAAGTCGAAGAATCGTTACGGAAACCTCATAGCGTGTGCGTAAGAGTTCCATCCTCGCATTCGATAGATCCAATAGACTCAGGATTAATCAATTATTCGTGTGTTATAGACGATGAGAATCGGGTGATACTGGAGACACTTCCGGAGGATCCGCACTCGGATTACATCAACGCTAATTACATTAAAGGCTACAATAAAGAGAAATATTACATAGCCACGCAAGGACCAAAACCGAATACGGTGAACGACTTCTGGAGGATGGTCTGGCAGGAACAGACCACGGTCATTTGCATGCTCGCGAACGTAGTCGAAAACGGAAAGGTACGAGTTTCTCTTAAAATCTAACAGCTACGGATGCCTGTGGTAATAACGAGTAAATCAATCGATAGACTAAATGCGAACAATATTGGCCGGACATCGGGAAGAAGAAGAAATACGGGGAACTGGTTGTGTTCAACGCTAAGCACACGGTGTTCGCGGATTACACGTTCCGCACGTTGCATCTGAAACAGGGCATGGAGATGCGTAAGGTGACCGAACCTCTTTAAGACCAATTTCAAGCATTCCGAGAATTACAACTAATCCACAAGGGTGGTTAAAAATTAGATCGAACACCTGCATTACACAGCGTGGCCGGATCACGGTGTACCGTTGTCCACACACTCCGTGGTAACATATTTAAAGAAGCTGTTGGCAATGTCACCCAGAAATGGGCCCGTCGTCGTCCATTGTAGCGCAGGCATCGGCAGAACTGGAACTATAATTCTCTGCGACATCTGTCTGCGGCGAGCCATCGCTGAAGGGGTACAACTTGTTTTAAAAACATTCCTGAACGTGTCCGAGAATCCTCGGCAACATACTACGGCGCGTAGAAACTACTGGACACACGATTAACCAAAAACAGCGTACTTTCAGGTGATCGACGTGTTCAGAGAAACACAATCGATCAGAAGCCAAAGGGCTAACATGGTGGACACCAAGCAGCAATATCTATTTGCTCATCTGACTCTGGTCGAGTATCTATTTCCGGTCCCAACGTGTTTACCTTGCGACGAAGCTTTGCCAATGCAGATCGAGGAGCTCAAGAAACAGTTGGCGATTCAACAACAAAGGTAACGAGTCCTATGGACGATCGGTTCGAGTGCACGACTGGAGTAAACAAAAGAGAATTTACAGTTTGGAGAAGGCTATGTGGCAAGATGAAGCCCTTAAACCAGCGACCAGTAAAATGTCACTGTCGATGCGCAACCTTGCCAAAATGAGATTCCCAAAATTAACTTCAGGTTCAGAATCACCGTTTACGCTATCATCCATGCTCTATCGCGCTTGACGCCAATAACGCGGTTTCTTTGCAGCGAACACTAACAGAGTGTATTTGACAAGGTATCCGCCGACTGACGACGACAGCGACTATATATCCGCCATCTACGTGGATGGCGTGAAATTGCAGAACCAGTACATCGCAACGCAACTGCCGATGCCCGGGACGCTCAGCGATTTTTGGAGAATGGTGGACGAGTACAAAGTTGAGTTGATCGTCGAGCTGCAACCACCCGATCCAGATGACACGGTTCGCTAATTTCTGTACCTTTTACCGTATCTATCCGGTGTTCTCCGGATTAATCGCGATTTTTCTGTTCCAGACTTGTTGCTCGATCGCCCCGAGCAAAGAATTCAAACCAGTGCCATACATAAGTATCAAGGCGGAAGAATGCACCGAATACGAGTACTACACTTTGCAGAAGCTGACGCTGGACAATGAAATGGCGGTGAGTGGCTGAGCTCGTCTTCGAACGCGGAACGTTTCAGTTCGCAATTTCATTTTAGAGGCCGCCCACGGAACAACAAGTAATAATAATTCGCTCGACCGAATGGAAAGCCGGTAGAAATCAAGCTCCGCCGTCGATGATCGCTCTGATCACGCTGTGGCAAGCCACAGAAAGAATCGTCAGAGGCAGAGAGCTTACCATCGTCATGTGCTAGTAAGTACCAACTGAGACGAATTTCAATTTTGCTAGACGAATTTCAATTTGCCCATAGAATTACACGGAAAACCTTTCCCGCTTCGTTTAGCGACGGTGTAACCGGCTGTGGCCTATACCTAGCCATGAGCCTGCTACTGGAAAGAATGTCAGTGGAACGAGAATGCGACGTTTGCCTGGCTATTCGCGCGGTTAGGCGGTCTAACCACGATTTCGTTCGAACCTTGGTAAATCCAACGAATTATAGACACCACGATAACAATGTCATACCTCGAATTTCAGTTTCGCTTATCGAATATTCAATTACAGGAACAGATGGAGTACCTGTACGACGCAGCGAACGCGTATTTGAAATACTTCGAAACGTACGCGAACTTTACTTGAACGACTCGGTGATCGATCGTTCGATTTACCGGGTCAATTGACTCGATCGAATTAAACACGTTGGGACCGGTTTCCCGATATCTGTGCCACCCGAGAAATTATATCGTTACGTCAATTAACAGCTCGAAATTCCTGACACCAGATTTTCCTGTTTTTTCCTTTTGCTTTCCACCTGCGCAAGGCAAACGACTTTCATTTCCCACGAGCATTATCGTTGATTTATCATAATCATATGCAGCAATGGCCTCGCTGCACTGTGATCATCCTCCTCCTCCTCCTGCTCCTCCTCCACCACCACCTTCGCTCATCGCGATCCGTTTCATCTATGGATCGCATACGAAGAAGCGTCCTCGTTAACTAATCGTAATAACGGTTAACAGGAGCATAAAAGTTTCACGTTGACGTACAAGCATCGATCTCAATGTAGGCGCGATCATTTGTGATGCGGACAAGCGTGCTCAAAAAGATACTTACCGGACGTCATTGGTTGGAATTTTCGCGAGAACTCCCATCAATCTGCTCCGGACGATGTCCCAACGTGTCCGTTCGAAGAACTTGAATCAAATAAACAGTTCTCAATTGGAATATACAAATACATTCGTACGTAATTCTGGATATTTCCTTTCGCCGATCGCAACGGTGAATTTCTGGCGATCGGCTATCTCCCAACGGACACTATCGACTTTCAAACCGGCGGAACGAGTTCGAACGAATAATCGAAATGACTATCGAAATAACTATCGAAACGCGGACCGCGCGACACGAAGCGACGGTCGCTAACATCTCTCCGCTCTTGAACAGTGCGAGCTGTGATATTAATAAACGAAACGATCATTCCCAACGATGAATTCAAGTATCGCGAGTGAAACTCTCTTTTGGAAGTTTAAGGAGCGTCGTTTCGTATTATACGCGCGAGTGTTCGCGTCAAATCTGATCGGACTAATCGCATTAGACGCCTAAGAAACCCAATGGAAAAAAGGTACTCACTTTTCGTACGATTATCATTGAATCGGTAACTGGCGGGACCGTGAACTTTCGTGATTCGTCGGAGGGCCGGTCGATTGTCATGATGGATCGTTAACGCGACGAAAAATCATAGTTGACGAAAGGAGAAAAGGGAAAAAGTAGCTCTGCCCGTGGCGCGCCGTGTCTCCCTTCTTCCAGTCAGGAGATTCCGTCGACGGCCGACAGAGGGTGCGCCGGTAGCGCCGATAACTCGTAATCGCGAAAGGTATAAGTGTCGACCTCCTCTAAACGTCCATCTCCGCGGATATTTTCACGTGTGGTTACCGTGGTATTTGTGTGACGGTGGCTCGAGTGCTGGATAACTAGAGGTTTCGCGAGGTGTGGCTGACAGGAACTGGTTTTTTTCTTCTGTCGTCTGTCGAGGGAAGTAGCAGGCAAGAGCTGACTAGCGAAGAATACGTGTACGGTCCTCTCTCACAGCAGCAGGTAAGAGATTCTCATGGTTTCTAACGTTGCCTGTGAACGAAAAGAACGACGAGCACGTGTGCTCGTGTGTCACGGTCGTGTTCCACCTGTGCCCAAGGCGCCGATCGTTCCCCACGATCGACTCTGTTTTGTTTTGTGTTGACAAGATGCGGGACACGCGTGTCACGTCTCGTTTCAAGGCCAGGAGGAAGACATATTGGCGCGTGAACCGGACCCATTGAAAACGCAGACCGCTCCGAACCAACGGAAACGCGATTTTTCGATCGGTCCAGGACTATCTGGCAGTTTGGATCGCTTGCACTGGCTCGTTCGGTTCGACGGGTGCATTCGCCTGTCGCGAGTCTACGTTTACGCGTGCTGCGTCACTCGTGCCCGCTTGTTGTTCCTTTTCTATTATATAAGGAACACGCTTCGCACGAATGGACCGTCGCCATGTTGGTGGACGCGGCGCAGCGCGAAATTTGATTCCCGTGCGTTCGACGCGCGGAGCTTTTCAACCGGCGGAAGCTTTCTCTTAGAGTGGTTTTAACCGCGTTAACAGGGATAATGTTTATTTGATCGTAACGACAGCGTATCGATTCATTGAACCGCGGGTAACAGATGCTTCCGTGATTGGGGATAAATCTATTGAATGCGTTAAGTGATTAATGGATTTGCTACTCGACGGGCGGGATCGTTTGGAAAGTATAATAAAATTATTGCTCGTTTAATGACCAGCTTTAACAATAACCTCGTATTCGCCGTATGCCATTACGCTATGAACGTTTTATAATTTAATCTGTTCTGTCCACTCATTTATCCATTCACAGATCATCTGACCGTGGCATATTTCCCTCCCGCTAGTTAATACGCTTTAAGAACTGACTTCCTAACAACCGTCATTCAATCGCGTTTCCGTTACTAACGAAACAGATCTGTAACTTTGTTTCCTCGTTGAGAATGCGTTTCAAAATTTACCAGTTTCCTGGTGCGTCTTATCATTGCCCCACTTGATCGATCACACTTTAACGATCTGCTTTTAGTTTTGCCGAGTATTCATAGAATACAATGCTAACTCCATGATTGTTTGTAAATGATTTAACGATAAAATTGATCGTTTCTATCGAATATATTTACATACCGGAGGATCGTATTCGCGATGGAACGAATACCTACAGCTTCGTACAACGAGGAACAGATTCGGTTCTAATTGAAAAGCGATCACGACTTCACCGGCCTAGCAACAAAGACCTTATGCTCCTTCTGTCCGCGGATCGACGTTGCACAATTGCGCCTAACTCCGACAATCGATCCGACCATGGCCCAACTTGACAGCAATTTAAAATCGCTTCTCCTCCTGCGAACCGTACCAAGTGCACCGTCACGAGCAACCACTCTCCCACAAAGCGGTCGCCGCGGATATTCTTCCGCCTCTCTCGCGAATCAAAACGGTCAAGCTTGTTTCCTTGGCCGAGCGAGAAAGTGTCCCGGGCGGATCGTTAGCGGACAGCTTTCGCTCTGATTTCGAAGTCGTCGTCCGATATCGATCGTCCCCTTAACTGCACTTCTAACTGGCTAACACGTTGCACAGACACCGGCGCGGCGTTAAGATACGATATCTCCGATGCAATTTGTCACGATCGCACGATCCCGCCTCGAGGACCGATCGGCTCGCACGTTTCACGATTTGGGTCGTTCAGACTCGACGATTCAACGTGTTCGTACAGGGAGGATGAGTTTCCTATATCACCTGTTGCGTTACGTAGTCTCCGAGGAGATGAAGATTTATCACAGACGAAGAAGGTTCGACGTAAAGTGAAGGCACCGTCTTTTCAGGGAGTATGGCGATCACATTGGCGAAGCGTGCCAAGGAGGACAAAGTGGAAACCACGGCTAGAAGCTGGGTAGCTAAACCGATTTTGAGCTCGGAGTTCACCGATGATCCTCCTCTGGAAGACGTCTTCGTGGGTCTGCTTAGGCAAAAGAAAAATATCTCGACCGCGATACAGAGGATATCGTCGATTTTGCCAGGATTCAGTCATCTGAAACGTTGCTCCTCGAATAAATTGTTACTGGTACCTCTGAGATCCTCGGAACTGTTGGAAGAATCGGTTGAACCGTCCCTCGAGAAACGCAGACTGACCCAAGACGAGCTGAAGATATTGTTAAACGACAAAGGCTTCGATTTAGACTTGCTAGAGGATGATTTTCAAATAGTAAAGGTACCAAGCAGAGCTGCGAGGACTAAAGCTCAGGCAGCACGAGCTTCCAAGATTTGGCCTCTAAACTTTCATCCGGATCCAAATCTGGAAAGATTGATCGACGGATCGATCTTCACGGAGCAACAGTTGAAGTCGATCGAAGGATACATGAACGTCGCGATTGAAGCAGCCAGATTAGGCGCTATCGGAAACGAGACCTGCAACGGTAGCGCGTTGATCGTTGACCCGGAAGATGGAAGGATTCTCACGATAACCGCGTCGAGGATCGACCTGCATCCCATGTGGCACGCAGCTATGTTGTCAGTGGATCTTGTTGCGAAACTTCACGGAGGTGGTGCCTGGAAACTAGACGGAAAGACAATGGGAAACGCTAACGAATCAGCAGCTTCGAATCTCATTAACGAACAGGACGACGGAAACTATCTAGCGAGAGAAAAGAGGATCAAGAGAAAGTACGTCGAGGAAGCTCCCCTTCGTTTCCCAGAATCATTGTCCACTCTGTGCCTCCCGAAACAGGAGTCTCTGAAGTCGACTATTATTCGTCGTGGCAGAAAGAACAACGGTTTGAAAACGACATCAGCGGAAGACTCGCGTGAAGCCGAAACAGACACTGAGAAATGTGGGCCTTACCTTTGCACAGGGTACTGGACGTTTCTACTAAGGGAACCTTGTCCCTTGTGTGCCATGGCTCTAGTGCATTCTAGGGTATCAAGGATATTCTACGGCGTTTCGAATCAAGCCGCGGGGATTTTGGGTTCCAAAGCCGTTTTACACAGCGTCCCAGGGTTAAATCATCGGTACAAAGTTTGGGGAGGCATCCTGGAGCAGGAATGCCGGCAGGCGTTGCAAGAAATCGAGAACAGAAACGTGGATTGACTCACGCGACGTTCTCGGGGCGATGCATCACGATTCCCCGGGGATGGATCGCGCACGTATACCGAGAAAATATAAACGATCCTCCCCGACTGTTCAGTAAAAATTGAAACGAATGACGAAACAGGTTCCATAGATTGTATATGATTCATCGGCGGCTGACTTATCAATTCCCCGATTAATAGTAACGGCGCGAGATCTATCTCGACATCGAGACCCGCGCCGCTGAACGTGGATCTAACGACCGGTTTATAATTTCAATCAAAGGCAGGCGACTCAGGAGATGTTCCACGTGGTTCGGACGTGCGTTCGTCCATTACCACGCAGATACACCGACGACCTTGGCGTCTTGGTATAATTTGCGGGAATAGAGATATGCGTCCGGGTTCGTAGCGATTTCCACGTGCACGGAGCAAGTTAGCGCTCGTACCAGCCGTCGCGCAATGACGCATTGCTCGCGGAAGATTGAGACGGTCATTTTCGCAAATTCATCTCTTAACCTGTCGTTCGGTTGCAGCTCCCTAACACAAAATTTTCGAGCATCGGCCATTGCAGGCCCATCCAAGTTTCGGGAAACTCCATTTCATATTAGGTTCGTTACAGAGACATGTCTCGAGGAAATAGATCCCCAAACGTATGTGCCAGATTTAGGATCCGAGGCCCTGGAAAGATTTAGACTCTATCATTTGCAAGGATGTAATAAAAGTTCGCCTTTCGGGGGTTAAGTGGACAAGACGTTTTGTAACAATTGTCGTAAATATCAAGCCATTGCGCTGCGTGCCACGACGATTCGATGGGCGCCGTCGGTTAAACAAAATTCCGAGTTTGACCTGCTCGACGCGGGTTGACCGGCCAGCTCGAAACAAGAGCCGGTCTCATCGATGACACCGAAAGTGATCGTCCTCGCGAGTCGATCACTCCGTCCCGAACGGAGCGTTCGCCTCCGTAAACGGTAGCCGCGCGGAGCGAATAACCTCGTTTATCCGATCAGCGTCGCGTGCACGTATTCCGCACGGTGGCGGGAAACAAGGCCGCCGAGCGGTTCAACGTGGTCCGCGGTGGTCGTTGATCTCGAAGGGAACGCACGAAACGTGCGCACGGTCCTCCTCCGGATCCTCCTCGTCACGCAGCACGCAAGAATCCGACTCGTCGTCGGCTCGAGCCCGACGACGCTTCCCGCGTCTGCGTTCTTTCCTGCGTAACGCACGGACGGTTCAATTCGTGTGGAAACGAGTAGCGCGTCTATAATAATGACCTTGCGGAATTAACTTCAATCAGCGAAACTTCAGACGTCTAACCCCGTTGGTCCGGCACGGTTCTCCGTTGGGGAACGGATGTGCGCGCCGAGACGAACGGAGAACGTCGCAAGACGATGGTTGTTCGCCACGACGAACCGCGGAACGACGGTAAACAGTGCCGGGACTGAGAAGGATGAAAGTTACTGTGGTTGACGAATCAGCGGGATGGATGGCGCCTCCATATACTTCTCGGGCGACGAGTTCCGCGTAAACGATTTCGATCCTGTAACGCGGCGAGTAGAAGCTCGGACGGTGTTCGTTTGTTCAGCTTAACCGTGACCCTGTTAACGATGCCTCTGTAAATAAAATTGATTTGTTGATGCCGGTGGAATAAATGGATGTTACGCGGGAAGTCGGCGTCTACGGAAAGTTCCTTATCCGACGGTGTCACCAGCCGTTCCGTGGACGTACACTTGTTTTGTTGTTTCAGGTTCTGGTACGCTGCTATTATTTAACTTCTTCGAACCTCTTGGGGTCGAGGGTGTTAGCCGTGTCGCGCGTAGACGAGCAAGCTCGAAGCGTTCGAGGATCACCGGTACAAAGTGGCCTGGACTCTTCGTGCAACGGATCAAAGAATCTGGTAGTCCGCATCGTTGCGTAATCCCGCCGCAAACAGGCTAGAATTTCTATTCAAACACGCATTCGCGCGGTGCCGAGGAGCTCTAGTAACGAGTAACAGTTGGTCCCCGTCCTTCGTCGAACCGGCGGACACGTGGCTCCGATAATCGTAACCAGGAAACGCATCGGCGTCGACTCTTTCCACGAGCGTTGCTAGCTTAGCCAGCGATCGACACCAACGAGAAGGTTCGTCGCCGTTAGAGCAATCTGCCGCTTCCTGTTGTTCGATCGCGGGCGGTCTCCCGCGCGAGCGCGAGCGCCTGCGAACCCGTTCCTCTCGACGAAACGCACGCATCGGTATCAGCAGATAAGGTCTCCGCAATTAATTAATCCACGTGGCAAACAGACAGCTGTCGCGATGCGGTTACGTTTCGTCGAGACGACGCGAGCATCGTCGTTCTTCTTCCCTCTCTTTCTCTCTTTTTCTTTCTCTCCGTCCGTCGCGGAATATTAGAACGCGGTCGGTTTCGAGTTGCTCGAAAATATTCGAGAAATTTGTTCGGGCATCGAACGACTCGATGACACAATAATTGCTGGAACGAAGACGGAGAGGGGGCAAAGAGAGTGGGAACGGGTCAGGTATTAATCAGAATTCGAATTCAGTACGTGACCGTATACAGGACGATTCTACGAGGTAAACCGAGTCACATTTTGCTCATCAGCGCTGAGTGGTTCCAATTGACGGTCGGGTCGACCCTCCAGCGTAGACACTATTGGTCAGCCTTTTAATACAAGCGGTCGCGATTGGATCAGATACCCGGATCGTTCTTAGACAGAAGACATCGCCGGAGCATTCGGTTGAAAACTTTAAACGTCGCCAGTGTCGCGCAATTTGCTGTCCGACGTCGTCGGTTCTTAAAGCCCGAGGATCCGAGAGACATCCGCCTGCCCGATTCCCATCTCAGTTGGTCTAAGTCGGTCAACGGTGGCAGCGAGAGTTCGCGAGCAGAGACAACCGGAGCGACGCGCAGGAAGTGACTCCGTAGAGGAGTCGATGCTTTTCTACGACACCCACGCAGTCGGTTTCGACGGAAGAACGACTTCTTCGGCGAGCGTTCGTTGACGAAAACCCGTTCGTCGCGCGGCAACGATCTGGAAGATCGGTGAAATACTCGTCTTGCTCGTGCACGGATCACGTATTCCCCCCACAGCGAGATCGTTTTATCGGTTGGAACCGACTGTACGGTTTGATAAGGCGCCGATAAGCAAAGGTCTCGGAGTAACACCTGCTGCAATCTCGATCAGCAATTGGATGGCCCAGATCTATTGGTTGTTGCTCTTTGAGAGATATTGATCGATCGCTTTACGCCTGGCAACGAAACACCGGACGAGCCTTTTGGACAACAAATTTAAAGAAACAACGAGGCGAGAAGAGCTCGGTAGTTGGTTCACTTCCCGGCCGAGAAGTTATCGTTCCTGGCTGGCCTTCGCGAAAAGGATTCCTTTCCACCGTCGCCGCCGGGATTTTGAGGAACGTCGGGGCACGAAACACTCATTCGATTTGGTTCTAAGGCACAGAGCCTCGTTCTTCTCCCGGAACCGAGTTTCTATTTCCATCGGCACCATGGAACGAAGGATTCTGAAAATGTGGTGACGACGTGCCAGGCGAAGGCCTTCGATTACCAAGACACTATCGAGTGTGTGAGGCATAGTCGTTAGAAAACATTCAAGATATTTTACGAGTGTCCAGTGACACGCTCTGAGAGCACCATACCTCTCTTCATCATAGTACCACCAACGAAAGGGAAAAGGTGCCCGAGGATCGTTCCAGGGATTAACAGAGCTTCTCTGGGACGCGTAAAATCGAGGCTAACTTTCATTCTCGAAAAAGTGTTCAAGCTCCGTACGACTTTTGGGGGGATACCGTACTGGAAGGATCAGGAATACATTCGATAGCAGACCACAGAGCGGACCGGCGTCCCATTCCGCGGCTTCGAGTTTCCACGGCAAACAGTAACAAAATGCGTTGCAGCCAAGGTGTGGCGATGGTATTCGAGGACGCGTTCGTCGTCTTTTCGCGATTTTTGTCCCTGAGGTCGCGGGGTTGCGCACTCTTGGAAACACACCGGCAGCGCGAGACAACTGGCATCAAGAAATTGTACAACAGCTTCTTCGTGATGTTCTAAGGATAACTCAACGTTCGCGAAAACGTCGGCACTTAATTGACGGTTAGTCGAGTGATGCACCGTGCAGTTCCGGCCCCCTACAGGAGGAACCAGCCGAAGAAAACACGGGGATCGCGCGAGACGGGAGAACGCGTTGGTTAAACGAAAGGTAGAAGAAAACCGTCGACGCGGACCAAGGAGGAAAGCTGCGAATCAAAAGACCCGCGTCGATCGTTAACCACAGAATGCACGCGCGCGTCTGAAATCGTCGAAAGAGAAGTCCACAAGTCTTGATGCATCCCGGAATATCGCCGTGGATGATCGTCGATGACAACGGAATCGAGCTCGGACTTATCGTCTTCTCTTTCGAGCAAGCCACCAAAGCGTTCTCCAAAGTGTCGCCGAGCGCTCGAACACCAAGAACGGTCCGGAACGGTGATCAGAATCGAAACAATTGATAGCCGAAGATCAGTGAAACGAGAAACGAACCCTGGTAAGAGTGCGTCGGGATTTAGAGTCGTTGAATGGAGCTTCAATTCATCATGGACGGCGGCGCAGATGCTTTGAACGGGACGATATGGTTTCCCAACACTCCGTCGCCACCGTACGAGCAGCTGTCTCCAGTTCGTCAGAACAGATGCGACCCCATCGCTACTCAGCACGTAAGTTACGATCTCCTCTTTCGCCGTGCTTAATCGCGTCTCGTTGATGCGCCGCGAAGACGCTCGTCTTCGTTAACTTCGCCAAACAAGTCGTTCCGGGCGAAGCGATTCGACCGTCCTTTCGACAGCTCTCGTTTCTCCTCCCTTTGTTCCTCCATCGTCTCGCCGAGAGACACCCTCGTCGAAAATCGTGAACGGATCGAATCCGCGTCGGGTTCCGTGCGAGACTCGTCCCCGTGAACTGACGAAATGCTGATGAAACGTTTTATAGGCGTCGATGGGATATCACAGTCCACAAAATTCTGTATGGCAGGACAAGTACAACTCACCGAAGGACTCTCCGGAGGACAGCGTCCAGATACGTTCGAACAGTGGCTCACCCGAACACCTCAGTCCATCCTCAGACCACTCTCTCAGTTGCCAGCAAACTAGTCTGAAACGCAGAGCCGGGGAACCGTTGCAGCAAATCACAGAACTCGAGAAGAAACATCCCAGAAGAGATGGTTAGTATATCTAACGTGTCCACCTGTTGAGCGTTAAGGTTCACTAGGTTAGGCGATCCGAGAAATTCCATTTTTCCGACCCAATCCGCGAATCGAATGTTTCGAAGAAGACCTGGACTATGGTTTTCGTTTATCCCTTGGGGAATCAATTACAGAGATTAGTATACGTCGTTAGATTCTCTTTGTTCGTCGGGTTTTGAAAGAATGTTCGCAGCACTGAATTGCACCGCAGCAGCCGCTATCGTTCAGCTCTCCGTATAGATATATCGCACGAAAGGTCGTGTCCAAACGACCCCGGATACACAGTCGTAGGCGCGACATTTTCAGACTCTTACCTCACTCGATCAAGCTTCTGCGGCGAAATGCCCGATTACTCCTTTAAACTATCAGTTGCGATACGTTAGGCTGGAGACACTGAACATCTTAGGGTTCGCGAAACGTCTGTCCGCCATCCGGAAATTGCAGTTCGCGAATTTTACCGAAGAATCGAAAAGATAATGGTAGATGCAGCATCCTCGTTCGTCGCCTCTGTTCACCAAGAACGATCCACGTTCACGCGACAGGGTAGTGTTGGAAAATCGAGTGCGCATATAGCAGCTGATTCTACCTCGAACACTTGTCCAGGACTGATCTATGAAAAGCATCGGGGCCGGCCTGCTCGCCGCGTTCGACGCCTTTTTGACCACGTGGTCGCGGAAACTGATAACTCCCGAGTACACAGTGTATCGCGGATTAAGTCCAACCGAAGAGAGAAAGGCCGATGCTAGTCCTTCCTCCGAAAGAAACTAGGCGGTGGTGCGTTCGCGCGTTTGTTTCGCTCACAGTTTACTCTTTCCTCGGTCATCGCTCGATCTTCTTTGGTTCGCGTGGTCAGATAGAATGAAGTGGTGCGAAATCGACAGCTCGAGGCTGCCTTTTCTACAGAGCCGACGATACACACCGGTAACGTCGAAAAGTCGACGTCGGAACGCGGTCACGAGCCTCCAAGACACGAAGTCGAGGATTGGAGCGATGCATCATCAGTTCTACATCAATTATGCCAACGCGCAAGGTGATAGGATAGAGTAGAATCGATCGGGGCAGGATACGATAGGTTTAGAGGAGAACTCACGAGAGAATACCGGGATAGATTTAATGTTTCTCTAGCTTACGTCGCGTTCCTAACCGATCGCTCGGGTTTAACGGGCTATTCACTTACGTACAGTACACGCGACTGAAAATTTTCGCGTTCGCAGGGTCGGTCGGAAGTAACGGCTCGGGGCAAGGTTGGTCGACTCAAGTGGAAGAGCTGGCGGAACACCTGGCCGCCGATTTCGATGGATCCCTATCGGCATTGGCTGCGTCCGACCTCGCCACTGCTGTCGCCTCCTACAACATGAGGTAAATACAACATTTTCACTGTCGGCGACGGTGGCCGGGACGAAAGCGAGCAAGCTGGACGAAGGAATTTCGATCGCCGAGCCGTTCTCGCTGGGAATCTCTAGCGCGAACGAGGAACGAATTAAATCGAAGCCCGTCGAAGCGAGACCACTGGTCGATCACGAAGAAATTCGTTCCTCCCGAGCAGTTGTCGCCGATAAAGTAGGTTTCCCCGTGTGATCTACGCGGGCGCGCGCGTGGATCGAATCCCGATTAAAACGTGCTCGCCGAGTAGTGGGAACGAGCGTGTGTCGAGCGAGAAATCCGGTTCGAACCAGACACAGTTGTCGGTGTTTCGTCGCTCGGATGGCATACACCGCGAAATCACGGCGAGCATAGACGCGTAGACGCTTAGCGAGTGTTCGCGTGTACAGACACGTGCGTTTCGATCACGGAACCAATTCCAAACATTTTCACTGGGAGGCACATCTACGTCCGGTTCCGTATCATCCGCCGACACTTCCGAGTTACTTTCACGTTCGATTGCACGGAAGGAAGCTCCTAATTACCGTGGCGGCAACGTGGAATCCCGGATTTCTTGGCTAACTCAAGCCTCGATCTGCTTGAATGCATCCTAAGGATCGCGCATGGTCTATCGTTGCCCTTCATTCGAACACGCGTTTCGAATGGTATCCTTTATCGACCTACGCTCCGCGTGTTCCGGACGATCAGGTCGATCCTTATCGTGTTCATTTTACTCCGCGTTCTGTACGGTTATCACCCTCGGCCACTGTCCTCAGTGATAACGTCGTCGAGGAACGATTAACTGGTTCGACGTTACCGTTCCTCCGGTAGGAAGATCGGGGCGAGTCGCTTCGAGGCTGTCATCGTAGTATCAGCATCGGTGCAACAAAAAATTATCATCGATTCAAGGCTCTCGCCCGGCGAGATAACGGGCAATATAATCGCACGTGTAAACGCTAGCGATAGGACGATACTAGAATAACGTACGAGAATCAGCTGACGTTCGACGAACACGTGGCACGGCGGTTCCAACGTCCTCGTTCGTCCCGTTAATCGGCCCGCGAGGATTTTCGAACGATTCATGAATGAAAAGAATCGGGGAATTCGTGGCACGCAACGCGGATCCATCAGGGACCGAACCCCGAAACGGTTCCCCAGCGTGGAACCAGTTATTCTAGGCGATTTGAGTCCGCTGCGGTGAATCACTTTCCACTTTCTAGTCGTACTTCCTATTTAGAAGCCCCGCGAGTCTCGGCCACGCGCGCGAACAGCCGAACACCCGGTGAAATTCGAACGGAACGGTATTTCGGTAGCTCGCACACTTGAAAATGATCGTTGACCGTCGAACTCGCAAGTGCTACCGGTTGAATCGGCCAGTGTCAGTGTCACTTTAACTCGACGTCTCCGTGGACGAAGCGTCGGGGGTAACGTTCGAACCGCAGAATCATGCACCAATATCTGAAAAGTAGGTGAGTGGATACGCTTAAAGGGAGCATCCTTTGAGCGTACATGCAAAAGAAATTGCGGCGTCGCTTTATCGCGACGCTTTTATTCGAATGCGGCCGATATTCGCTTCGCTGTACCGGTGAACCGATGCGGTCTGGTTTCGGTTGACCTTACTGACTCAATCCTTATCAAAGCGGTTCTCAAATCGTTTTACCCATTCCGTCTTCGACAATCGAATTGTATCGCGATAGACCCACGCAGCTATCTGCTTGTTTATTCAGCTTACCGTTCCATCTGATCCCGCCGTTTCCAGGACTAATCCGACGATGTTGTCGTCACAGTAAACAAGAATATCCCGTTTTTTGCCTGCAGTTTACGTAAAATACGGTTTATATAAGCGGTAACTTCATTTCTGGTTCATGCTGGTTTTTATACCGAGTTCTATCTCGAGACGAATCACGAGAAGCGCTTGTATACAACATTTCGATGCACACTGTTTACGAGCAAAAGTGGTGGCACTGAATCAGTTCGAGCGGTCATTCCCGTATCAATTGTACTGAAGTTCAAAGGTACCTTATGTCATCCGACACCGATACGATACTTTTTCAAACGCATTTTTACGGGACGAGACGATCGTCACAGAGTTCACGCGACACCGACGAATGGACGCGTACTTACGTTCACGGGTGCTCCGAATGGATTACGCTTGATCTGTTCTCACTCGCTTGCGTCACGACATACTGATCAATAAACGTCGATAACGAAAACCGGAATCTATCGGTTATTATCGGTCGAAACGTATATTCCGACCGAAGACCGAAACTCCCTTTAATTGCGTTCTCCCTGAGGAATACATTGGCGACGCTGAACTCAACCTTTGACCTTTCACAACCGGAAAGACGGCGATTCTGCATGCAAAAGAATGAGCGGAGAACGTAGAATATCATTTTTTCCCAGAGAACGTCGTTCCCGAGATAATCGGTTTCGAAAGTTTGCCTGGTTTGCAATTAGAACTAGACTTCCAATAAGTAGAAACAGTGAGTCATGGCCGGACACGTTATCAGATTCCCTTCGATCGTAGCGCGTTCCTGGCGAATTATCGAGCGAGACCACGCGTAGGAAATCAGTTAATACAGTTCAGGAATGAATGCGAGGTCAGAATTAAGGAACGATTGTATCGAAAATATCGTTTACTTGCAGCGAAGCCCTGCTCGCCCTGCCATCGTTGACGGTATTCAAGCAGGAAGCACCATCGCCGGAAAATCAACAAAATTCCAAGTAAGTTTTCGCCCGCGTCCTTTCGTTCGAAGCACACCTCGATCGCGTGTTTCGTAATCGCGTTCCTTATATGCACCGACAAATATTACGTTGGCTCGCGCACTGTCATCGAAATCTCCTTTCCCCTCGGGTTCGTGGAAGACGTCTACGTGCAAGAATTGCCAATATGACTCGAGGAGACGATCCGCGACGAGCATCCTTTTTTCCATTGTACCGTGCTCTTTTTTTCTCGTCCGGAGGCGGAGTTCAGTCGTGCACTGACATCGGTTTTTCCGCGTCGCGCCAGCATAACACGTTCGATGGAAAAACATGCTACGACAATCATATTTCGTCGCGTTCGTTGGAAAGGCTGCAGAGGAAAGCAGCCATGGCCAGGGAAGGAAAAAATCGGTAGCGGAATTTGCCGCGAGAGACTCCCCCGCAGAGACTCGGCACCGATAAACACGTTATCGTTGCGTTTCTTCGCGGAACTATCTAGCGAATGGCACGCAGGTCAGACCTTTACTATACCGAGGATCCTCCGCGGTTATCTCGCGGCGTCACTCCGACAGCGTCGAGTGCCAGTTTGTCGTTCGACCGATCCGCCACGCGAAAAACGCAATTCCTCGCGATGTTCTACGGGACTCGCGTTCGGTGGATGCAGTTCGTTCTTCGCGCGACTTTCGCTAATCTACACGATCGAACCACTCGAAGACTGGCGTCGTTTCGAGATCGATAAGCGCGCCGATCTAGAATACCAGTGGTGTTTCGATAATCCAAGGTGAAGCGAGGCTCGTCGAGCTTCTTATCAAGCGTAACCTTTTTTGTTGTTGTTTTTTATTTTGCGAGACTCTTGTGATAAACCTGAACGATACTATTCCGAGAAAGGTCGCTCTGTTTCCTACGCGAAAAGCGTTGCACAGGTCGCGAACAACAGTAAAATTTCCATTGCATCATAACGTCGGTTCAAGTGGGAGTCGGATTAAGTCATGCACGGATTATCGAAACTCCACAGTGCGTCGTTCAACGAGAGTTTCGGATGTTATTCCTGTGAAGCGTGTCGTCGCGCGTAATTCGCGAGAACCGGAAGTGTGTTCCACTGCGGACGTTAGTCCGGGAATTACCTGTGCTTGCAATTCGAAGACTCCTCGGGGAAAGCCATGGAGCCGCTATGGTCACCGCGCGTCGAAAGCCGAGCGTGTAATGGACAAATTGTTCCCCTAGAAATTTCCGCCAATTAGGAACTCGGTGATACGTGAAACCCACGCGCGAATAACTTCATCAACGTTCCCGTCGGATCAGTGACATTTCTCGCGTAAACTGGGCGATTTCGAGCGATCGATATTTTATCCTTCTTATCAGCGATACGTCGAATCTGCACACCGCGCGAAAGCTGCGATGAGAACACCTCCGGATCTAATCCTCCCACCTTCGGCGTTCCTTAATTTATAGTGAGTGCTGTAAACGAGTGAAATTGCTCGGGATTAAATCTAACCGGATCTCTGCGTCGCGACGGGCCGCCGTGTACCGTTGCATTGATTTGTCCCGTTGAATCTCTGCTTCAGTTTGAACCACGTGTCACAGCGACCAATCAATTCGGCACCGGCGAACAATGCGAACGGCCCTGTCGACTCCGACAGTAACAATAACGGGCAAACGGCGGCCAGTCTCCATCAGTTGTTGTACTCCTCCAACGAGGAGTATCCGCCGACTTCGTCCTCGGGTAATCAAGTGTCCTCCTCTCAGCACGTGAACGAGCTCAACGAAGATTGCCGGTACGTCGTTGAAACAGTATATCGAAAGAACACGCGCGGTCCAGGAATCGAAGAATTCGATTCGGTCGCGGAGGAGATCGTGCCAGGCTAACGTTAAACGTTGATCCCCAGCTTCCAGTATGTTCTCGCCGCGGCGACGAGCATCGCGACGAAAGTCAACGAAGAAACGCTAACCTACCTGAACCAAGGCCAGTCGTACGAGATTAAGCTGAAAAAATTGGGCGACCTATCCGCATACCGGGGGAAGATATTAAAGGTACTTGGTCACTTGCTAATTGGTCCACGGAAATCAGGAAGCTCTCATTGTTTGGGTAGCGACATCTTAAAAAACGTGCTGGTTTCCCACGATGGAATCGAGCGAGCTCACTCTGGTCGCAGCGTGTGATCGCCGTATAAAAACCGCGAACTCTGTTTTTCCGCTGAAACTGGTGGGGCGTCGGTAACACGACGACGCGAAATTTAACCGGATCACCGAGATTCGACGTGTGGCCTCTGATACAGAACGAAAGCGCTCGCTTGGCGAGCAGGCAATTGAGCGTTGCGACATATTGATATTTTAATAGTTCCTCGAGCCGAGCGATCGCTTTCGTTCGTTCGGCGCAGGAGAGGTCCGCAATTCGGCGTGAGCTCATAGGTCCTCGACGTTCGAAAGATGTGAGTCACCCAAACGGTGCTACAACGTCTCTGAAGGGACATCCGACCTTTTTATTTCAGTCCACAATCCGCATATGCTTCCACGAGAGGCGGCTCCAGTACACGGAACGGGAACAGATGCTTGCCTGGCAACGCGCGAGACCTGGTGAACGTCTACTAGAGGTCGACGTTCCTCTCAGTTATGGGATGGTGGACGTTTGTCAGCCATCGCCGTCGAACAACAGCGTGGAATTCATGTGGGACCCCACCAAGGAAGTCGGCGTCTACATAAAGGTACAGTTTTAGAGGCTTGGGATTGAAATCGGCGGCGCGTAGCCGCCGCGCGAATATCCCCGACGACGATGAAAGATGCCGGGAGCCGCGAGAGTCCCAGTGCAGTCCACTGCAACCCTTTTGATTGCAGGTAAATTGCATCAGCACCGAATTCACGCCGAAAAAGCACGGTGGAGAGAAAGGCGTACCTTTCAGAATCCAGGTAGAGACTCGTTTACCCGGTGGACCCCGCCTGCATGCTGCGTCCTGCCAGGTAAAGGTGTTCAAGCTGAAGGGAGCGGATCGCAAGCACAAACAGGACCGTGACAAAATTTTGAGACGACCGCCGCACGAGCAGGACAAGTACCAGCCGAGCTACGACTGCACGGTTCTCTCCGACGTAAGTGGCAGCGTGACGATTTCACGTCGCAGGTGATCGATACAGTTTCCCCTGGATATGATTTCAGATTTCTTTAGAGTCCCTATCGCCGTCCAACCTGGTTGCGCAAAACGGAGGTAGTCCTTACACTCCAACGGAGGCAATGTGAGTACCGCCATTAGTTGCCTTTGAATTCCATTCGTTTCGTCTGACTAGGAGCGTCCGTTGCCACTGAATATCGAGCGATCAGTACTCTCCGCGATACTACGGATTTTCTAATTGTTGCGTAACGTTATCGAGAGATCGACGAATCGTTTTCAACGATTCCTGGAATTTGCACCATTTTCCTTATCGTCGGTATTTTTATCTTGTATCGCGCGCGAGATGTATTGGCAAAGTCTATTGTAAAGCGCCGAGCGATTTAACGAATTTCGTTGCGCCGCGTAAACATTAACCGGTCCATTTCGGATAGAACAGGTTTCGGTCGCCCGTCCGACCGAATAGCCATGTTTACGTGCCCGTTTCGGACACCGGAATCGAACGTAGACGATTCTTTAAATTTTGAATCATAAATGCTCGGAGTATCTTTCGTGCCGCAGGAAAAAGGGACAGTAAACATTCTGTAACGATCAAAGTACCCTTAACGCCTTTCGATACTGTAAGCTGCGTCTCCACTCGCGAGCGAAGCACTGCGACAGCGACTCTCGAGATACCCAGTTTCCTTTGATAAATACATAAACTTGATAATATACAACAACCTGCGTAAATGCGCTGGCACAGCCCGCAGGGATCGCTGCGATCATACAGAAATCGGTTCGTCCGATCGAAGCCTCTACCAACCGCCGAGCAGGGTAAAAAAAAAGCCCTCCTCCGGCTCGTTCGAAACTCGTCAGCGCGTAGACTTTTGAAAAATCGTACGCGTCGAACGGGCGCAAGATCCGCTAATGAACCCGTGGGTCGCGGGCGAACCAACTTTAGACATACGAGTCGGAGAGCGTGCTCGGGCAAGCAGTAGATGATGCAGCGAGCGAAGCAGAAATGCAGTGCTGCGTTGCCGTGTCTCACCTTGGACCGAGGTAGGGGGATCGCGGATGAATCGAACTCGATGGAGGTGGAAACGATTCGCAAAGTGGTGGCGGAAAGCTCGGTGGCGATGGTAATGGCAATGGACGATACGGGCGGCACTTGGGATATAAGGTTGGCGAAGGAGGAGGTGGCGGCGGCGGAGGAGGGAGACGTCGGCACGGGAGTCGAGAAACTGGCTCGAACTGGCACGAGCCGGCGTCTGGTAGAGCCGACAACGATGCGCGCCGAGGGAAAGAGAGAGACAGCCACGACGACAAATAAATTCAGAACGGCGCACGATACACGCGTCGCCGCGCAGCCGCTTCGGTTCTCTCTCCGTGGATCTATTCGCGAACCTTTCGCTACGAGTCTCGTGTCGTTCGTCTTTTCGCGATATATACCGCTCCGAGAATCCGCTGCGATTCCATCCATTGGCACGTCGAACGTTTTCTTTTCCCTGCGGCCGATCTCTACCTCTCAGCTAAGACTCTCTCGCGAACGGGATCGCGGAGAAACGATCGCGCCCGCGACACTAGTGATCGAGGATAGTCCACGGGAAACGGTAACAAGTGAGAGTCGCAGACATGATCTACCGTTGAGGAGAGCCACGCGTGTTTACAAATAAACGGGTGCCGGTGACCGTCTTCTCCAGTGAGATCCGCTACAAGACCGGACGTCGTGTTCCCGTCGTCGCGTTTCGTTCTCCACCATCCACGTTCGCCTCGCGATCAATTTACACACGCTGGTGGTTGTCGGTGGTCACTTCCGCGACCTCGAGCCATTTCCGGTAACCACCGGGAGACCATTGGACGCGATCAAGCGACGCTGCGGTTCGATCGTCGTCGTGGGGGATCCGAACCGAGGGGAAACGTCAAACCCGTTGCTCGTCCGAGGGAAATAACGAGTACCCACGTGGGCTGGTCAGTGACGCTGTTCCTCGTTCACGATGCACGGAAATGAGCGCAACGATTCACGCCTGGTGAAATAATCTCGTTGCCGAAGAAACGAAGGGGAACGATCGTCCGTCGATTTGGTCCGCGTCCATCAGCGAATAAAGCGCCGAGGAGAAACGGATCGTTGCATCGGCCGTGAATTTAAAAATAAATCGTTCGCGGTATCCGGAACACCGTTCGCGTTTCCCGGACGGAGCGTGAGCGACCGACCGAGAGAGGAAGAGAGATTTGCTCGCGTGTACGTGTGCGCGGCGTGCGTGAGACGGAGAAATCGTAGACGATCGAGGGCATCGATCGTGGGTCCCGTACTGCGCCCTGGCTGAACGGAGATCCGACGAGGAGATAAGGAGAGATATCCGCACTTTGGACTGCACGCGTGTGATGTATCAGGGATCGCGACGACGATAATTTTTCGACCGCCACGCTCTTTATGCTTCGATCTCTGTAACCCGTCCGCCTTTCTAAAACACGCCACGAGTCGGTACGAGCCACCACGAACCACGCGGCGGATCTACCGCGGCGCAGGACTGGCGAAACTTTCTTCGAATCGATCGAGCGTCGTCGAATCGAGAGTGAAGCACCCGCACGCCGTTGGAATGCCCTCGTCCGGCGTAGAAACTCGATTTCCGGCTGTTCGTCCGCAATCGTCTCGCCGCGCGTCGAGTATCATTGATCCCGAGTCGTTGTTGCAACGCGACGATCAGCGCGTGCTCGCGCGCGACTTCCTGGCCAGCCAGCAGGTGCTCCTGTCACGGCAGGATCACTTCGTCAGATGACGAGCAGCCTGGCCGCCGGAAAGCTGATGCCAGGGCGGTTCGATTCAGCTTTGAACTGAACGTTTCCGAGGAGAATTTCCGGTTGTTTCCTTTTTTCCTCGTACACTCTTTCGGTCGTCCCCAGGGCGTGACCCTCGGTCGGATTCGAACCATCGAATTTCGACGATCGTTGGAAGGAACTGCTCAGTCGAGCTAAACTAGCTATCGAGCGGGCGAGCGAGCAAACCACCTCGTTATCTCGGGCGACGACGTAACACGATCGGGGAAAGTAAACTGATTTGCTCGGCGGCGGGAATTTTTGCTGGTCTGAGCCGCGAGGTGGAGAGGCCCGGCATCGGACGTTGGCCGGCTTCCTTTTCAATTAGCCGCGCGAGTGACACGGGGAAGCACGGAAACCGAGGAAGAACGTGGAACGAATCCCGATGACGATCAAACGAGACACGCGAGGATGCGTTTGAACGATTTGTCGGCTACCTCGTGGACAGATACTCGTCGGACGTTGCGCGAGCTGCATTCCGATTAGAATACGTTTCGCAAATGCCAGTAGCCGCGGCGAACTCGCTCGACGAAATCGCAGAGAAACGCAGCCAGGACGCATCAGTCTACTGAACAGCACGGACCATGAAAGTGATCGATAAGAGGAGATAAGCGGTCCGCCGGAGGAAAGATCGGAGGATTTCTTATCGCCGGGAAGATCGAATATTCGTTTCTTTTCTATTTTTTTTCTTTTAAATTTGCCGCGACAATTGCCGGCTCGGTCACGACCGGAGATATCCGGTTCGGGGCAGTCGCGAGTAGGTTCCAATAGCGATCTGATTCATACCGATTGTATCCGGAATCGAGCTTCTGGTTCGTGAATCAAAGCTTTCGAACGATCGGTTCGCGCTAGTAGTCGCGAGTCAGGCGCAACGCCGTCCACGCTTCGGGAATCGGAGCAACCGGGCCCACCGAAAAGATCACTGCCGTCAACTCTCGAGTCCATGAGAATCACTGTTCGAGATGTAGTCGGTTCCCGGACTCGACGAGAAAGAGTCAAAGGAGGAAAGCTCGATAATTGCCAGCAGAACTCGTACGAATGGATGGAAAGGCAATCAAGGATTACTCGAGCGTTCGTATAATCGGATTGCCTGGATTCATGAAAGAAAGAGTGAAGAGACGGAAGAAAGGCACCGCGAGAGACACGGGTTGTCGTTGCAGGGCGTAGGAGAAGGTACGCGGACGAGAAGGAATCTTTGGGAGCGTAGATGGAATTCAAGAGACGCGTACTCGAGATGCCAAAGAGCCGGCCCATTTGGAAGTTGAAAAGCTGCTGGGCCATCAGATCCACGCCCGAATATCGCGGCAATGTCTCCGCTTATCTTCTGGAGCACGAGGTAACGGTCACCGGTGGGCCCCGGCAAGTGGAAGTGGTGGCTAAGTTTATTCATTCTATTTCGGAATCCAGAGCGAGACGAGGCAATCTCGTGCGCGGCGGATTAGTCAGCGTCACAATAAGAAAGGGCCGTAACAACAGGAGGATCGACGATAGGGGAATCTCCAAGCTGATTTTTCGGCCGAAGAGACGATGCATGTAAGACAGCCGCGCGACCTACGATTCACCGTGTCACGAACGAAATCGGAAATCTCGTTAGTCCGCGTGTTTCGAGATCCGGCTCGCTTATGTAACTATGCAATGATTCTAAGGTCAACGACGGAGCGGCATTATTTGTTCGTTCGCGCCTCCTTTTCGACGCGAGGAACGTTAATTACGAGCAACGCCGGCCGTTCTCTGCTACGATAGCCACCGAAGACTCGATATTCGCGCGTCGTAATAGATTACAGGGTCAACTATTAGCCGTGTTCGCTTTCATTGCGCCTAAAGACGTTAATTCACACTATGCGCGTACATCAATCTCGCGTTGCGGCTGCTCTACAATGTATCCCGCTAATAGGCGCAGAAATGCTCGAGCATTAGATTCGTTTAAAGTTTTATAAGCTCGCAGTCGAGGTCGATCGAATTACAGGGGCGATAATTGGGCTTGGAACTATATCGAATAGTCTTAACGCCTTGCGTTTCGGCAACGTTCACTTAAAGGTTCCTGTGTTCTTGTAGATCACCCCAATCTCGTTCAACCATAAGCGGCAATACCTCGCCAGTAGTCGCACCGTTGGCTCTTTCGGTTTCCAATGCAGGTATCGTGCCGCTAGTTCCAGTTTCGGACGCCGTGAAAGAAAACGTGGGAACAGCGCCCGCTTTGCCATCGCCCGCAGCTATTTTGCCGGATCAGTCTTGCATCGAAAGCGAAGTTAGTTCTCTCACGACGATTTCTGTTCTGCCCGAACCATGTCCACCGTGAACGGAGACCTAAGAATATCCAGCCTCCACCTAAATACGTGGTGCAACTGCAGCGTAACATTGGCTCGTGCCATTGTTATTCGGAAAAGAATCGTTGAACCACGCAATTTGGGATTTCACGTGATCCTACCTTGTCCCGAAGTTCCCGAAGATCTCGCACCACAGATTCCTCACTTGGATCCCTTAAGGAGTAACAAAACTCTCACTTTCCGCTCGGATTCACAGGACTAATACGAGCGCTCTGATTGCACAGGGATCACCGTGTCTGGCCCAATTGTCACCGGACGCCAGTGCAGCTCAGATGAGCACGTGGCTTCGCGCCGGCCGTTTCGGTGCCTTCGAGTCGACGTTCGCGAGCTTCTCGGCCTCGGATATTCTGCGACTCTCGAGGGACGACTTGATTCAAATCTGCGGCCTGGTCGATGGGATTCGATTGTTCAACGCGTTGCACTCGAAAGCGCCCGGTCCGAAGCTCACTCTCTACTTCGCACTGGAAGACAACGGCTCGCTCTGGAGAGTGGCTTATTTGGACAGCCTAACCAGCAGCGCCCTGATGAACAAATTACTGAACACTGTGAACTTGCCTCACGAACGACTGCATTCTGTGCTCTTCCTCGGCCCTCAGGGTATCCACGTTCTGGTCACCGACGAGTTGGTAGCGAATATGAAAGATGAGAGTATGTACTTCGTCGAAACCATCAAAGGTAAGACGGAAAGTGGTTCGCGCGAGGTAACGCGAGCTCGTGCTCCCATTTTCTTCGCGAAACTCGTTCTAACGAACTCTCGCTTGCTTCTTTGTTCCAGATAACGCGAGCGAGCGCTACAAACTTCTCCTAAAGCCCTCGTCGCGTTCCTAAAAGCAAACCGTGTGTATCGACTAACCGCAATTAACCAATCGATTGCGAAATTGGGTTACAGAATTCTCCCATGAGTCTCACATTGCCAAATGTATCTGTGATTCGAAAGAAAGGAAAAAAAAAAGCAAATTTTTTATATCAACGGAGCGTATCGAGTACGTGGATGTTTACTCGAAGACATTCTCGAGACGCGTAGTTTTATCTTCATTCCTATTGAAAATCGGGAAAAAGGAGTCTTCAAAAGTGTATCGCAGGGATGTTTTCCTTTTACTACCGGAGGTCTTTGGTCCCGCGGTAAGATCGTATTTGCAAGAGACGAGGAAAACAGGAAAATCTTATTCCTATATTCAATACTCATTAGAATTTTTCAATATAATTATGTTTTTATGATTATCGATCGTTTCGACGCAAAGTAAATGTGTCATTCTCAGCAACGTATATATATATATATATACGTATATATCGCATACGCATTACTTTCCACTAAACTCGATTAATTGTTTCTTTTATAGGATCTAAGTAAATCTTTAGTTTGGAGAATATTTAGGAAATATTTATGTCGCAGCGATAACCGCGGCTACTCAATTCTTGTGCCACATAGCAACTATGCGAAACTAGTTTACGAACTACTGTTGTTGTTACAATTATTCGCCAGCATCTGGTCCGCTGTTACCGCAAGTTTACGTTTCGTTGATCGTGGACGTTGCTGATGAATATGATCTCTGTTTACACGATGTGTGTAATATTCTTTGTTTCTACAAATTATAAATCATGTTACGTAGACGTTTAAGTCCGAACGAGTGCGGGGATGAATGGTGAATCGCGGCTTGCGAGGAAGCGTGGTTGCTAATGGATAAGCAAAAGAAACGAGTGGAGAGCGCCGAAGGCTCGGTGCTCTTATATTTAGAACAGAGCGATCGTAGGAAAGCTGTAAGTGCCTTGGATTTCCTATCGGTAGCGAATCATTAGAACTTATTTTAATAAGTGCTTGACAATTCTAGAGATAACGAGAACAATTATCGAAGAGGAACAAAGGAAATTTTCTTTCTGTTTATTCTGTTCTGTAGTACAAATTGCAAGGGGTATGCAATCATCCTTGAGTGTCTTCGAGGGTTTTGGGCAATCGTATGAAGTATTATATTCTATTTACCAAATGATAACTCGTAAGCTAGGAATCTTGCGAAGAACCGATCGATTCCAGGACGAGCCTTAAACTAGCAGGACAGTTCTCGAGAGTTCGTTTTGTTCGACATTCTAAAACGGGATCGAACGGTTAATGATCGCGTGCGTTAATAACGCGTTTCGTTCACATCACAAGCAACTAGACCGAATCGCGCGACAGTCCGAAAGATTCTACATGCGCCAAACTCGAAAGAACTGTCTGATTTTTAATGTAATATTCGAATGGAATCTTTCGACGCACGGAAGTTCGCGCGCGTATCAGTAAACTGCATGCTGTATATTTCATTAGGAACTTCCAAGCATGTCATGTATGTTACAAAACGGCACAATAAATAATGCTCCGGTGCCAAGCTGTTCGTGTTTCCCAAGGAACCGACGAATAAATAGGATATTTACTCATAAATATATTCTTTTATTTAACAAAATAGAACACGCCTTAATAAAATGTGGATCGTCCTGTATCATACAATCGGATACGACAGGTTATCCTCGAAACAACGCAACGTGTGTCCATGCTGTCGCTCGGGACACGTTGCACAGTAGATTTTTCTTGCACCGCACTCTCGACCACGTGACCACCTCCCGCGACGTTCGTTCACATTACTTTTTCTTCTTCAGTTGTTTTTGCTTCTTCTTCTCCTCCCTTTTCATCTCTCTTTCCGTCAGGCATTTGAACAGCTTGTAGACGAAGAAAACTGCAATCGAAAGAACACCGCGTGATCGTTCGTCGGACGTTAATGTTCCGAGGAGAATGGACTTTCTATCAGACCACGGATAGGGTAATTCGCAGCGACCATATACACATACCAATAACCAGAGTTATCAACAATACAGCGAATAAGAACACGATATGCGAATGAGTGTACAAAAGATACGTATATGGGTTAGCCTCCTCCAGTTTTTCGTGCATGGCGCGCTGTATCTTTCCGAATACAGTATCCAAGAATTCGTCTTTCTCCTCGTCGTTCAACGACTGATATCTTTCGAAGATATTCGACAACTTATTCTTGGCTTCCTCCGACAAAACACTAGACAACTGTTCTTGCAAGCCGTCGAGCGTTAAACCTTTGCTCTTCAAATCACTCAAAATACTCTCCGCCATGCTTTCTACGTTCACTCGAACTGGAACGATTCGCTAAGCCTTTGATCGACTGCGAAGAGATACAAGTGTCAAATCGAACCACCGATTGAAAACTAAGGAGGTGCGAGGTAAACGATTGTCCTCTGGTTCCGGTTAAGTGGACGATTAGATAAGAAGTGGGCAGGAATCGTGATGGAACCATATGCGAAATCACAACATCGATTTGCAGATCGATCATTATGCAACGCTGCTGATAAAACAAAAATATCGTCAGCTCATCGAATATTTGCTCGAAGAAACCAGGACAACAGCAAGAAGAATTCTGCCTATCGACCCATCTCGAAAGATTGTACAAGAAACGCAGTTTTAATCTCTTTCAACGAAGAAACCGTCGTCTGACAGGTTCAAGAGGATAATTACCGAAAATAAGCCCGACAATACTCAGCAGGGACAAGAGGATCACAGTCTGCATTGTTAGATCATTGCCTTGCTCGGTATTCTCTTGTATATTTCTCAGCAAGTCCATCTTGAGAGAATTCTTTTCTTCGTCCGATAAGCCGGTCATCGATTCGAGTATCTCGAGAAGTTGTTGCGGCGACGGAACTTTTCCGTCGAACTCTGGTAACGCGTCAGGAACTGCAGCTGCATCGACAGTTTCTTCCGATACATCTTCGACCGCATCGTTCGCAGCTGCAGATGCCACAGCCTGAAGGCCGTTCACGAGTGTCATCCACATCCTAATTAAAAATATCGTCTAATTACACCGGTAGAACTCGAGTCTGCGATCGTTTCGAGTACACCCGCTGCGAATTCAAAGATTAGATAACGTTATTTTTACACGGACAGTTACGATCGTCGATAAAACGCAAATACATTTCTTCTCGAGCAGCGGAAACACGTAAAATTCCATTCCATAGTGTCAGCACGGTATAATTTCATTGAATATTTCGCGTGAAACCGTTTCGCCTATTCTTCGAAGAACCTCCATTGAAGCGTTCGCTGTGTCGAGAACTAACTTACTGGCATACCTGATTGATTGTGCGATTCGATTGAGGAGATCGACCACCCGAAATCCAGATTATACACACGTCGAATATGATCGAACGTACCTCGAGGTAAGAACGATTGGAACGATGTAAATTCGTCGAGAATACACACGGAATGAAGATAATTTTTCACTGGGCAGATCACTCGTGTTTGGCGCGAAGATACACTATGATCCGGCGATCAACTGTCGATTGGCCGGTTCGAAAGAGGATTCTTATCTCATTGGTAGTTGTACAGTATCAAGCCAACGTGTCCGCTTCCAACGTGTTCGTCGGAAAGCCACGACGCGTGAGTCAATCTACGTTACATGACCTTTATAACGTGTAGATTGAACTGCGTTAAGCAGGCGCATTACGCATCCTCGTCGTTCGAGACCATAAGCGTTGCATTGCATCCATTGAACTACACCAGATGTCACATTATGCTAATTGCTAACTTATTGTTTATCACACGAACACTCGCAGCAAGAGTGGAAGCCGATGTTTGTATCTTTAACAAGGAATTCCTATAAATTGCGAGGAAGGCGGACTAAACGCTTTAGCTAATTTACTTCTATCCTAACGCCTCGACTAATTCATTCTGTTTTTAGGGTGAACACTTTCACAACTTTCGGTTCTATCGCTCTGTGGCCAGGGAGTCCTATTTCCAAGTTTTCTAAACGAATCGTTAGGGAGACGGTAAACCGTATAGTAATTGGTCCGTGAAACGATTCTAACGTTCCAGTATCTGAATCTATGTAGCGCATCGCATCACGCTATACCCATGAATGCGGATCACGTGGAACAGGCTTCAGGTGCTTGACCTGACTAAATGAAGTATAAACCTGTTGCCTTCGAGGAGCACTCGTTATCGGACAGTGCCGGGTCGTAGTTTTTCAAATGCGATTCGTAGTTTTCCTGAATGAAACTCAAAGAAAATATCAGCGGAACGGAAGACACTTGGCCGAATGTAAAGCGTGAAGGATAGATTAGGCTAAAAAATAGAAGATGCAACGAAGTTATCGAGCTTGAATAGGAAACCATATGTTTCAAGGGAGCCGTTACCAGAGTATGGGGAGCGTTAGATGCCGCGCTTTTCACGAGGAATTCTTACCGCCCAGGCCGACGACGACAATCCCAGGAACTATGAAGACGACATTGTTGAAGCCGTGCTCGAATGGGCCGTCGCTGAGATCCACCATCTTTCAGCTCAAGGAACTTTCAATAAATTTTAAGAACAGAGATACCCGTAGTAACTGACTACACTAAACAGGTGTTCACGAGAACGCCATCTGTGAAACGTTTGTCGTTAAAATTATGCGTTTTCCTATGATCATTCGTTTTCAAAGCTTCATTCATTAAATAAACATCGCTCGATCGAGCCTCGAGAATATTTAGCAAGTGAATTTACAGCATGATCTTAAAAATATCATTTCGTTCGTTATTCCCTTAAGCAGCAAAATATTTGCGTGCATACATGACATTGTTTTCATCCTTGGACGCGAAATGTAAGGGCTCGAGTACAATCCCTGCGTAACATTGATCTGTTACGAGAATGGGGATGTTATAAATATTGACGTTGAAAAGTACTATATTAAAGCATGTGTGAAATTCTTGATCTTTTTGAATCAGTTTAATACGATCATGGAAAAGATGTAGAATAGATCTTCACCGACATAGAAATCCAACGCTGATTATAGCGCCCTCGGCAATTTAGAAACAGACAGAAAATCTCATTGGACGATGAATCAGAGTTTATATTAATTTTTATATTACAGAATAAATAAATACCTAAAGTCAACGCAATACGCGTATTTACACTGTTTACAATAATGTACTGTATCTGCAACAATATTCGTTTATTTGAACGTAGAGAACACATCCTGCAATAAGTAAGGTTATAACAGCAACATTTAATGGCAGCATCAAATAAAACCTTTTAGCACGTTGACTGCTATATGGTGGCCATCGATAACAGAAATTTTAAATTGCTCGAAAGTGATAATATATAAGATGATTGATATTATATAAAAATGATTAGTACTGTAAGTCACTAAATAATAGTATACCATAAGAACTGCAATACTAAATAATTAATAATTCCTTATCTTTACTACAAACAAATAAAAAATATAAAACCCCATATTCTCGTAACACTCAGCGTGTTAAATTTCGCGGACCGGATTCACAAATATTTGTTAACATCTGTGAATGACATTAGAACATTGTTTCAACTACTATATGCAAGTAATGAAAGGAATAATTATAATCAGTCCTTGCACAAAAGTTTATAGCGCAGAATTCTTTTTTAATGAAGAAAAAATTGATTTCCCTTTCATGGTGTAACACTTCCTGTAATAAAAGCGCGGTAAAACACCCTGCAAGGATGTTCCATTTTCGTTACAACTCGCAGTTCGATTTCAAACGTCTAGTGAAAACATTGAACAAACACAAAATGACTAATACAAAGTCCTCAGATACATTGAAGTACGCAAAACTGTCTGACAAAGCGTATGCCCCAATGAGAGGATCCAAATTTGCTGCTGGATACGATTTAAGAAGGTATTTTCGACAATTTTCACGATCCACCGTGTATACAATAGCTTTATCATTTTCATTCATTATTTAACAGTGCTTATGAATACGTTATACCAGCTCGTGGTAAAGAACTAATCAAAACTGATTTACAAGTCGAAGTTCCTGAAGGCACTTACGGAAGAATCGCACCACGTTCTGGTCTGGCATGGAAAAATCATATAGACGTAGGTGCCGGGGTGATTGATGCGGATTACCGGTAAGTACCTTGTCAATCATAAGTAGATTATAATTTGTCGTAAGGATTCACTGTCTTACAAAACCATAAATTATTCAGAAAGCATATTCTCTATTAAGAATTGCCTTAGAATAGAATTAAATAAAGGTTCTGTGAATATTGATTGAAATCTTATTACCTATATTATTAAGATACAAAAATA